ATGTTGCATCGATTTTATTGTATCGACTGCTCGACTTGCTCATGCTGTTTATACTAAAACACGATATATTGCGAAAGTTATTGTTCTAAGATTTCTCAGAGTACCTTTATAAGATGAAAAACTGTGAAAGAGAAGAACCCATACATCGGTGAAAATAAAATCATCTAAGTGGCGTGATACTAATAATTAATTGAAACTTCCGATCACATCCGTACGAAGAACCTGACTCATGTATCAGAGCACTTTTGACAACACTTCCAGAAAAAAACTACAGTGAGAAATTACCTATCCTGGAAATTATTTTTCGATTATTCTATGAGATTCCCTTACCTTTTAAACCGGTTTAATGAAGGCAAATCCAAGCCGTCTTGATCAGGACGGGAAAACCTACCAAATGCCGTCCTAAACTTGTTGCGAGACCGGCAACGCCATCACCGGAAGTCGTATTAGACTCGTGTCCAGACTATCCGCGCGCTTTCCCGTTCTGAAATGACGTTCCCGTCCTCTTGCTAAACCACTCTAATGTAACCAACGGTGACGTCTTTAAAATAGTGGTGACTTTTCTCATAAACCAGATAGTTTTGGGGAATCACACTCTGATAGGCCACGGAGCTTTGATCTGCCAATGTCTACAATCTTTTTCCCACAGAGTAATTTATAGAAAAACCCAGGTAGACGATACTATACATGAGCACTGAGATCATTATTTGTCTGGAGGTCTATGAAAGTTGAAAAGGAGGAGGTAAAAGACACTGAGCGGTTGTAAGAATTGGGTATGTCGATAGGATAAGAGAAAAGTATTCCTAATATTGTTTGCTACAAAAATTGGGGTTAAAACTTCTCCTTTTTTACTAAATACTTGATAATTTTTAATTGTTTAAATGTCCCTCAACACCTACGTTAGCTTCAATTGACCCATCCCCAATTGCCTCATCCCCGAGCCGTAGGTTGATTGGGGGAATGGTGGAAAAGGCATCTTAATAACGATGTCTTCTTTGCTCGTAGCTGTCTCAGTTGCACTTACTTGCCAACGTTTGCTCGTTCTCCTTTACCTGCTTAATTCGTTTAACGCTACTGGTATTTCCATTCAGTATTATTTACGGAAACAAGTCCAATTTTATATTTCCATGTAACTATCTAGCAAAATCTAAGCTTGCGGTCAAAATGGTTTACTCTAATTTGCGAAACGAAACAATTGGGGAAATCTCAGTGTAATCAGCGAAATGAGATACCATCTTTAGAAAACAATAACAACCACGGGAAGTGAGAAAAGAAATATCCAGGTTGTCCTTTGCGCAATCTCCCCTACTTTTTACTGATCCATTGAAAAACCCACCTAGAATTTAGAAACAGCAAGTTCAGTTTTCATTGGCTAATGCCTTCCAACTGATAATTTGCGTGGACAAAAGCACCAATCACTTGGAATACCAGAATACGCGCGTATACTGCCAAAAAAACAGCTGCGTAAGCTCGGATAGCCTATGTATGCCAAACAAATCCAAGAAACCTTAACTTGTTTTGTTCAGCAATAACTATATTTTTTTCTGACACCCTCTTTTTCCTTGTGCATAAATAATAAGTACCTGGCCGAGCGAACAACAGAGTTCTTATAATTTATTGCCGCAGGAAACCGAGTAATTGAACCAATTGCAGCCTGTTAATGTTTCGGTTGATCTACGAGCACTAAGGGCTTACGACGTCCAGTTTCACATTCTCACACTCCTATGCTTATGGTCAGACAAGTAATGAGTTTGAAGCCCTAATTTACTACGATTACAAAAATGCCAAAAACAAGACGTTATTGGAATCGAGCCACGTACGTTTTTTTGGAAATCCAAAGAAGAATAAACATACGATGTTCTTATAGCTGATGTTACAATGCGGGAAGGACTGAACAATACAAGGTATCTTGGATTTGTTTGTTCGGCACACCACATTTTGACAATGAATATTTTCCACAGAGCGATTTGTGGCAAAACAAAGGCTGACAATACTATGCATAAGCAGCTCATTATTTGTTTTCTGATGGGGTCAGTGAAAAGTGATAAGGAAGGCGTAAAATACACTGAATAGTTGTAGGGATTGGGTATGTCGATAATTATCAACAACTTAACTCGGCTATGAAATAGTTTTTTTTACATCACAGCTTCAGCCAGTGCGAATGCAGATCACTTCGCCTCATTTCCATATCGATTCCCACCTAAGTTACGTCGCCCCTAATTGTGGTCACTGAAGCTGTTGATTACCTGTCAGAAGCTACTAACATTTCAAGGAAGGCCGAGGCTAATTTTGCGGAGCGACGTAACCACACTTGAGGGCGAAGTCACTAGGCCAGGGATGTGACTAATGGCGACGTAAGCAGTTACCAAGAACGCTGACTTGAGGCAAAGTCTCCCGAAGTATTAGTTGTTGTTGTTGTTATTTTTTTTAAAGTAATTCGCAAGTCTACTTTCAGCTACTAACTCACCGTACCTCCAACCGGTCTCCTTTAATTAATTTGGAATGGGAGTTCGCAATTATCTTCTCTGTTGACAAGGTTCAAAAGAGGGTCTGATGGGGTCAAACGTTAGCCGTTGGGCGTAAAAATTGACGAATTTTTACCGTTAGTCGTAAAAAAGTTGACCGTAAAATTGTTTTTCTTTTAATCACATAGGAAGGAAATTAACCGTAAGCCGTACAACGGCCAGAATTTTAACTGTTAGCCGTAACAGCCATCGTCCCATTGAGACCCACAGACAAGTGTTTATGCCACTGGAAATGAAGTCTCTTAATTCGTAAATCACCGAATAATTTGTAGTTCTTTTCTTGTGAAGGCTTAGTAGAAAATTTGATCTTACAAGGAATTACACTCAAAGCAGTAGTCTCGTGTTCTTTGCAGAATTTTTCAAGTTCTCGTTCCCATAAGCGTTCTGTGCACGCCACAAATTGGTTAAAACTCGGGATCCCTGTGATATCAACGTGCCACTTGACCAATAGCCAACCTCATTATGTAAGATCAATGTAAAGTCTCCTCATTCCACATTCACAGCAGAACTTGGCATTTTCCACAGGGTATTTTGTACCGCACTCATGGCAGAATTTTGACAGCTTTTTCCCCGCGCTCCCTTCTCTTTGTCCTCTTCTGGCAGAGTGGGATGCAGTCTCTTGCAGTCTCTCTCGAGACGAGACAGGGGTGTGATCCATTGTTGGCGAGGGACTGTTACTGTCGAACCCAAAATCATCAAAGAGTGTCGGGCTTGGATCTCGTAACGCAATATGCCTGGCAAAAAAAAAAAAAGTTTGACATGCAAATACAACACAACTTATCTGGTGAACCTGGTAAAATATCAGACTCATACCTGTTTCTTTGGCCTGATGAAGATGATGACGAGATTCTATCAGAAACGTCCGAGTAGTCTGAGGTAGGTCGTGAATACCTTGAACCTGATCCACCCCTCCCCCCTGGGTTATCTGTATTCCCATTTGATTGGCTTGATCGGCGGCCATATCTGGCTTCCCTGATCTGAGTGGCAGGCGATGTTTCTTCATCAGAATCGAACAAATGTTGATTCCTTTCACTGCTCCTTGCTCTGCCAGAATATGTTCCTGGGTAAAGATTTTACACAGAAAGATGTAAGTGATCGAAGCAGGGGATACACAAGGCAAAGAGTCATGCCAACACATTTCTAAGACAAGAGACAGTTACAAAGCACTTTGTGTGAGATGGAAAACTTTTGTAAATATCTTGGTCTCCAGGACAGAGTTTTGACCTTAACTCCCAAGATCTGATTGTCAACTCTCCCTTCCAGCAGCTACATATTTCCTTATAGATTAGTTACAAGAATTTGTTGTAGGATATACCTGATAAGTTGAAGTATTCTCATTACCTGTTTGCTGGTTAATGTATGAATTTTTGAGGGAGAAGTTACATGTTAATCACTTCAGTTGCACAAATTCAAACTGGTTTGAATTCAATATTAAAACCACAGAAAATGGGTAAAAAAGACTTTTTCTAAGGACAATGAAAACAAATGATTTGTCACAGTAATGTTTCTTAATACTCTTTTTTCTGATTAAACAATATTCACCATTCATATCTTTATTCCTCTGCTGTGATGGTGAGCTGTGTCCTTTCCGCGTTGACATTGGGCTTGCATTTGGCACCTGTTTTCTTCTGGAACTAGGAGAGGCAAGTGGTTGTCGGCTGCCATAACCTAGAAATTAAGGGAAAATTTTTCTAGATGAATGCTGCTTTATCATGGAGGGAAACATTAAGCAAAAACTTTCCAGGCTCAAAGTTTACATCCTCAGGCAATCTGAACTCACTCATTTTTCCTTACCAGAGATTTGACCAGGAGAAGAGAAATCCAGATCTGATTTTGTTTTTGCTGAAGCAACTTGTCTGGTTTTTCCTGCTGATGATACAGTTGTTGCAGAGCCAGTAGATGTCCTCTTTCCAGGTAATGGAGGTTTATACTGTTTTGAGAAATAGAAACAATCACTTTAATGTTGAACACACTAAATTAAAAGTAAATCTTTAAGAAGAGTGGTTGATCATAAAATTTTTCACAGTCTGAAAGCTACTTGTTTGTCACACAAAGAAAGCCATAGTTTGCTAACAGGTATGTCACACAAGGAAAGCAACAGCATCTTTGTCTCTCTTTTCTAGGTCTCTCATCTCTGCATCCAAACTTGTTACTGAACATCTTAATCTCCCAAGTTATTCTTAGCAGTATATGGCAGTCAGCAGCTGCCTTTCCAAACACCTACATAATTTGGAAAGCTGCAAAACTCTTGAACAAATTGGTACCCTTAATCTCCACATTATTAACAAAAGCTTCTCTATTAATTTTTCTTGTTTTTTTCTCTACCATGTTCCCACCAATAGCATAGCTCCATTTTCCTGTTCATAAACACCCCCATCATACAACTCCTCTATTAGCTTGGACAAAGGGCCAAAGCTGATAATGGTCAGCTTTAGAAACTCTTTACTTACTTTGGCCAAGTTACACTATCAACTCAAATGATTACACCAAATTATCTTGTTACACCCTCCACCGCCACTATACTAAAGTTTCTTTAGAAACTTACCCACTTTAGTATTGACTTAAAGAGCCCAGTACGCTTGTATTGGTTAACTATGACAAATTCTATGCAAAATAATTTTAACTATGTACAGGCGTGCACTGGAGTAACCCACTTACCTGTGTACGTTTTGCTAAACTTCCTGATTTTGCTGAAGATGAATTGGCCAAACGACTCTTCTGCTCTTTACAAAATGGTATGTGTCTCTCAGCAGCATGTTCATTAAATCGCCGGCTACAGTGTGGACACTGTACATAATCTGGGTTTGCAGCTGGCGGAGGAGGAGGTGGGAGAGGACCCCCTGTCTTCTGGGCACTAGCCACACCCCTAGCAGCTCTGAGATTGTTGACAAATTCTTCATGCTTTTCTCTCCAATTTGACTGGGTGAAAAGAGAAAATAAGTTCTCTGAGACGATACTTGTAGTTCATAATTTACCTGATTAACCCTTTAATTCCCAGAAGTGATTAACATGTAACTTCTCCCTGCAATATCCATACATTATCCAGCAAACAGGTAATGAGAATACTCAAAGATATCAAGTAGAAGTTGTTTTCTTGGTCTAACACCAAATTCTTGTAACTAATTTAAAAGGAAACATGTTGTGGCTGCAGGGGAGAATTGACTATCAGATCTTGTGAACTAAAGGGGTAATAATGGTAAAAGGTCTGAGGAGTCCAATTCGGTCTGTATTCCACAAAGTGGGAGTCTGATTTGTTAATCACAAGTATGATTACAGACAGAATTGGATAACATGAAGTCCTGTTACCAATTAGCCAAAACTATGACAAAATTTGCAAAAGAAAATAGACATTGGTTGTATGTTTAATTAAAAAAAAAAGGTTAACTCAGCAAAATTTGAGACAACAGTGCACACACATGACATGTTCTGTTCACTTACACAGGGATAACATGTTAACTGTCCCCTTTGACTGTCCTATTACACTGTCCTATTAGTGCTCAAACTGGGCTGGTGATAACCAATCACATTCAAGAATTTTGTTATAGTTTTGATAAACTTTAAAATGACTTTTACAATTTAAATGTTAGTAACAGAAATAATCAAATATTGCCATGACTATTACTGTCATGAATTTTCCTCTCTATTTTCACCTTTTAGTGCAGAGACCAAACTATGGTTCTTAGGCACTAGAAAAATGTTTGATTTTCTCACAAGGGAGCCATACTTTGTTATATTATTTCCAAAAAACTGTACTAAGATTTTTCACTCATAATGAAATATCTACTCATTATCGACAGAAACTGGCGTTACCTTTTTTCCTCCGGCTGCTAATTCTGACTGTGTCTTCGTTGGTTTTTTCACAAAATCTTTGGGAAGATCAGAATTCCTCTGTTTAGAAGAATTAAACGGCTTTCTCTTCTTCTGCCCTTGACAAACTTTCGCATGTCGACCCTAACGAAAAATCAATACAATCACATCAGTTAAATTGATCATCGTGACTTAAAGTAAGAATTGACTTTCCCTATCCTTCATTATGGTTACCGTATCAAAATTTAAAGGAGTCATGTCTTCACAAGGATATTTTCACACTGAGTTAATTCAAAATTTGGAGGCTGATATCAAAATAATAAAATAAATTCACAGTTACAAATTCAGCCGCTGTAACAGGTTTATGACACCTACGAGCGCAGTTGGATTAAAAGTTCTTCCACACGACGAACATTCGGCGAGTCTTGTTGGAGTTCCCGTGTCACGAAAAGCTGAAAAATCAAACAGGTCATAAAAGTGTTAGAATTATCTTATGTAATTTCATCAGAGCCTATAGCAATCGCTTACCATCGATATAATCATCAAAATCTGCCATCAAACTTGTAACTATGAGCTTCGTCAACAAAAAAACGCCATCTTGAAAATGTTTGCTGTCATCCGCTGACCAAAGTATCAAGTATCGCGGAAGTGAATGTCTTGTCGCTCTCAAGGCCTGGTCGCTCCTAGGGCACAATGCTCATTTCATTGAGCCCGCAGTTCTACCCCATCAGTAAAGTTTTCGAAATGGCGACTAAGCGTAAGTTTGCAGCGGAGAATAGCGGCGCGCTAGTTCCTGTTAAGAAGCCGAAACAGAATCAGTTAGCTTTACAAGACCAAGGAGGGGCAATTCAATCGGTATGGATAAATATATTTGGAGTTTGCGTTTTATTTATGGTGTCATAATTGCTTGCACGTGGTTGGACTTTGCTATGCTTTCAAACACTCATCATTATGTTAACTGCTGGTTGTATCTTTGATACATAGCTTCCCCAAAGAACATCAAGCCTTGAGGCTCCCATTATGTTATTAGGTGGACATGAGGTTTGTTTAGTTCTATTTCAGTTCTTTAGTTTTCTTTTAATCGTCCACCAAATAAAACTTTGTCACCCTTGTTCTGCAAACGTATAATTATACTCAGACGCTGTACTTGTAAGACAGCAGAAGGAATCTTCCGTCAGTCGATGGATCTAGTGTTTGGTTAATCCTCCATCCCTGGTTATTGATAAATTTTCTAGAATTATTTACCCCACAGTTTCAAGTTCTTTGCTCTCTGTTTTCAAAATAGGATTGTATACATAGTAAATAAAAGGGGGTACGTTTCTAGAGAAACTGTGGTCCTGCGTCGATGGAAGAGTGTAACAGAGTTACTTATTTTTTTCGACTGAGTTGATAACGTTAACTGGCCACCGTAAAGAGTTTAAAAGGTGACGTTTCGAGTGTTAGCCCTCAATCGCTCTGACGAAAGGCTAACGCTCGAAACACGCTTTTAAACTATTATATACATAATGATAAATTTTTAATTTGTCATTTGTTTATTTCTCTACTTAGTACTTACTAATTACGTATATAAAAGCAGGTTTGTCAATAAAATGTCACTAATTAAGGAAGAGAAGGGTACTTTTAGGATAACTAATTTTGTGCCCCTCACTACAATTGTTGTTATGGTAAATGAGAAATAGAAATACATGTATATACACTTAAGTAGAGGGAAGAAATATTCAATATGCACTGAATCACACAAGATTCATTAGAGAGCAAGAAAATTTGGGATTCATTACTGAGCAGCGTAAGAGAGTTTCAGTGCTTTTTCAAATAATTTTTTTATAATTTTTGACAGATAGGAAAGGGAATATTGTTCCAAGAATTTTTACAAAATAATGCTACAGGAGGAAATCTATATATATGGTGATCTACCTATGGTCAAATTACTGATTATATTTCCTTTCACTCGTAGGGAGAGATTTTCACTTCAAGATTTCACCCCTCTGGAGAGACTTTGGCTTCAGCAGGATTTGATCGACTGATTTGTAAGTTTATATATTTCTACTGGTGATAAATGTTTTGTTATAATTATTATTATTCACATCATCGATCATGGACTATGATCGTCTGGTCAAGAGAGGTCCTAAAGTCATTAGAAGTGATATATATTTTGAACACTTTTCACAGAGGTCACCATTAGAGTCTTGTGAGGAGTCTTATTTTGCTTCTTTTTCAGACCTGTGGAATGTTTATGGAGAATGTGAAAACTTTGCAGTCCTCAAAGGTCATACTGGTGCCGTCATGGAATTACATTTCTCATTGGATGGGAGGTAATAAAGAGTTTGTTAACCCTATAACTCCCATGAGTGACCAAGATAGAATATCTCCTTACAATATCAATACAATATCATAGACACAAGTGATGGGGATTAAGAAAACTATCAATTATGGGATTTCTAATTGATGCAATACCAAATTCTCCAAACTAACATAGTGAGAATTATTTGGCAGACAGTAAGGAGAATTACTAATGAGATCTTGGGAGTTGAAGGGTTAAACATTTCAGGCGTCTAGCTTGAGAAATCATTTTTCTCCCTCCTGAAGAATTCATGCCTGCAAAGTAACTTGTGCTAATAGTGCTAATGAGAGCAGCTTTATGATTTTTTTGCACTAAATTTCTTCTTGGCAACCAGATGAAGGTGATAAATGCACTATTTGCCCAAGGTGTCTTAACTATCTTTGCAACTGGTAGCAACACATTTCTTCTCCTAGCTGGTTCCCTCAGTTATATATCAATCTGCTCTTAAAATTATTGTATTTTTTTTTATTTTTTTGTCTTTAACAGCACCATGTTCACAGCATCAACAGACAAGACATTAGGTATTTGGGATTATGAAACAGGTGCAAGGATAAAGAAGTTGAAAGGCCACAGTTCATTTATAAATAGTTGTTATCCATCTAGAAGAGGGCCTCAGTATGTTGTCAGTGGAGCAGATGATTGTACTGTCAAGGTTTGTTTCATAATTGTCTCTTTTTTTAATACTTTTGGTAGAAACTAGAAGGAAGTCAAGTAAAGCCATGATCCTTTTAGGTGTGCTAAAATTTAAGCAATCTAATCTGAAATTGAAGATTGTTTTATTTTTAAAATATGCACACAGCTTCTGTGTCTTAAAGGTGCATGTCAAGTGCTTTATCTTTGGTTATTGTTTTGCTTGCTTGAAATAAATCATTTCCACAAAAATGCGATCAAGATCCACAAAAAGTTCTTAGAGGTTCTCAATACTCGATACTCAAGCCTCAATTCTTGATCACCAATTCTCTATAGCTTTGAGTATTGAGGATCAAGTTTTGAGTTGAGACTGTCAGCTTTCTCTTGAGCAGTACTGAGTAAACTACGAATTGCATCTTGAGTCATAAGTCTGTCACATGGCTTGTATTTCAGTTGTGGGACACAAGAAAAAGAGGATGTGCACAAACATTTCAGAACATTTATCAAGTAAGTTTTCTTACCATTTTACCATGATGTTAATGTGTGAATTGTTTTTTACAGATGGGTAATACAGTTTAGCTGGATCAGTCCTGATGAAAGGCTTATGCTCGAAACATCAGCTTTGAAAATCTTTATGGTGGCCAATTTAGGTTATTAACGCAGTTAGTACCCAGTCTTTCATCATGTTTGATAGATAATTCCAGACACCTGGTCATTCATGTATGATGTACATCATTCTGTTTGTCTCCAGCCATGCCTCAAGCTTAACCCTTTACATCCTAACATCAATATACATTTTCTTCATATACTTTTCTTTATAATAGTGCTGACAGAGAGAATTTGTTTAACAATCAAGAGCTTTTTTAGTTGCTGATCATTTCCTTTATTCTCATGACCTCATGCTGGAGTTAGGGTTAATACTAATAGAGGAAATAGTTACTTATCACTCTTATGGGGTTCAAGGGTTGATAAGTGCTGTGTCAAAGAGTACCTTGATCATCTCTTGTTCTAGGTAACTGCAGTTTCATTCAATGACACAAGTGACCAAATCCTCTCAGGAGGCATAGACAATGAGATGAAGGTCAGTAGCCATTTTAGTCTGTGAAAGTAGCTTAACTTCTCTGATTCCTAAACAATTCATGCCAACTTAGTTAAAAAAAATTATCTCACCACTAGGATCTGTCAACAACTTAACATCAAATATATAACTATTATACAACATAAGTTCTTGAACACTATGCAACCAAAAATTTTTGCCTTTAGATAGTTTGAAAAAAAAGGCCTAGTTACAAGTCATGTCAAGCTACCCTTTGTGTTTAGGTATGGGATCTTAGGAAAAATGATGTCCTATACAAGATGTCTGGACACACAGACACAGTCACTGGTCTTAGTCTCAGTCCAGATGGTTCATTTATCCTCTCCAATGCAATGGATAACACAGGTATTATAAAGTATTACAAAGTAGATAGCCTATAGAACATGAAATTTCTTTTGTGTCATTGAGAGGGGGCACAGAAAAAATGATAGCTTCCTCTTTTTGTGCCTCCAACATTTCACTCCCAAGATCTCAATAGTAATTTGCCTCACTGTCTTCCATACAGTTCTCACAACGTTTGTTCAGAGAATTTGGTATTGAATCAACTAATCTTCCTTCAATGAACTGTTACTTTTCTTTATTCTTGAGGCTTGTCTGCTTGATATTGTAAGGAGAAATTCTGTCTTGGTCACTCATGGGAGTCAAAGGATTGATCATTCCCAGCTCTCTTCCTGCACTTGCTCTTTTTATCTTGAACAATAAAACTTTGTGCTTGAAGTATTGTGTAAAGTACCAAACAAAATAAATAGATTCAAAACTCTTTTATTTTCAATGCTATTGTCCATAGCCATGCAAGGTAGTTTGTTCAGGAAACACTCTTTATGCTCCTCAAAAGTCAATGAGTGTTTGTGGTACTTGAAACATGCAATGTCATTTGAATTTATATACTTAATAATAGTTGTGCATTTTTACAATTAACATATTTCATCTCCTTATCAGTTCGTATGTGGGATATTCGTCCATTTGCCCCTTTGGAAAGATGTCTGAAAGTTTTCACTGGAGCACAGCATAACTTTGAAAAGGTAACTTCAAGGAAGTACATGTGTACATGAGTTGTTAGCATTGAAAAGAAATTACAACTCATGCTGTACCTGAATCATCAGACAATGTAAGGCTGGTCACACTGTCAGATATGCATGCCTCATATAATGGTTGAACATGATATATACAGACATTTTGTATAATGTAGTATTAAAACACAGATCAAAATGGCAGCTCTTGTTAAATGTGAAACCATCAAATGAGGAGTTTCATTTTTCCATAATTGTTATTTGTCACTTGAAATTGAACAAATCAAAGTTTGGATCATCTATTGTGGCCACTTTATAGCTCTGCTTTCTGTCTGAACTAATCTCATGCTTTTTTTTTGTTTGTTTTTATAATGCTATGTTTTAGAATTTGATCAAGTGTTCTTGGTCCCCTGATGGACTAATGATATCATCTGGATCAGCTGATAGGTATTGTAGTGCACAGACTCATTTTAAAATTAAAAATAGTTTTCCAGCACGTGTAACATAAATTTGTGTGTTCTACATATTCTGGGTTTTTTTAAGCACCAAACATCATTGTGGCATGTAAGATATGCCAGTAACTGAGGAACTTTTCCAGTGTGACATAGAACATTTGAGTATTTGTTTGATTTCACTGTATTTATTCTTTTAGGTTTGTTTATGTCTGGGATACAAATTCCAGAAGAATTCTGTACAAACTCCCTGGACATGATGGATCAGTAAATGATGTTGACTTTCATCCCAATGAACTGATCTGTGAGTGCACAATTCATTCTTGATTTCATCATTGATCAATACACTTCCAGAAAAGCCATTGGAAAAAGCTTTGCTTGACCAAAATGTTATTTTTGGAGAATCATACTAATTCATAAGCAGTGTGGCATGAGCAGAAAAGTCTGTGAGATTCAAGCAGGCAAGAGTTCTCTATGGTATCTAACATTGATATTGCACTTTAGTGGGAGACCAAGGGGGAGAGGGCCAGGTGGCTATTGGTTAGTTCACTTGAGTTTGGATTGGGTCACCTGGTTATCATGTTGTATTTTTGAGCGAAACACTCTACTGTCAGGCATCTTTCTCCACCCAAGAGTATTAATGGGTACTGGGGAATTGCCAGAGATGCCTGATGAAATGCTGAGGGTAACCCTACAGTGGACTGGCATCTCATCATGAGGGAAGTAGAAACACTCATAATAGCTTCATGCTTCAAAGATTGTGATAAGCTACAGCTATATGGGCCTCTTAGCTTAAGTACAGATTTAATCTAATACTTACATGTACTTGAGTCACGTTTTCAAGAAAAGTTATGAGCAAAGAACTCATTGAATTTGACAGATTTACCCCTAAATTAGCAAGCTTTAAAAGAACTCTCTCTTCTATTCCAGTGATGTCCTGTGGAAGTGACAAGAAGATATATCTTGGAGAATTGCAAGCATAATACACATCTGCATTGCTCTTAGTCTCCTGGCCTGCAAAGTCAGAATCTTCAGAAATTCTTGGTGGCACAACACACAACAAAAGACATGTTGTACATGTTCATTCTCTTTAGTTGTCAAGAACATGACATCTTTCACAGAATTTTAGTAAAAATTCTGTTACTTCCATAAATAAATATAACCATTTTAATTTATTTCTGTTGCAAGACTTAGATTAACAGACTTTTAGAGGTCATTTTTTCATTAACTCCGAGAAATAATAGTTATCAATTTATTTCATCTCTTTGCTACTTTTAAAATTTTCAAACATCCCCATTTTATCTCACATCTCACATATATGTTCCTAGTTTACAGTGTATAAAATCGTGTGAAAGAATGTTGTAAGGACTTCAAAATACATGTTAACAAGTTTTCTTTAAGACTACAGAGTTTCTGTAAGTGTCAAGGCCTTGCTGATGAAAAAGGTTTTCTTCGTGAGGCACAAGAATGTAAATAAACTGAGAAACCTTTCTTTACATGCTTTTTGGTTGAGCACATTGCTGTCTCATGGGTATATATTCTATTTTGAAGGAACAAAATTTAAACCACCAAACCACCACATTCTACAACACAATATATGTATTTTGGTGAGATTTGAATGATGTTAAGATCTCTGCATCTAACATTGTTGTTAGTAATAACTTAAACTGTCTACAAAAATATATGACAAAAACAATGGTTTTAAAGTTTTAAAATAACTTCTGAATTCAATATTCCTAGGGTTCAATTGCAAGTTAATTCATACACTTCGACTGACAATTGTCATCAGTTTCTAAATAACATCATAGCTTCCTTAGCAATGGAATTTTCATACTAATATTCCTAAACATCTAAATTACAGTAGCCCAACTATACATAATTTAATAAACTCTGAAATTTTTCTAACTAGATGGTTGGACTTTTTATAAACTTTTGTGAACAAATTAAACTAATCTAAGATATCACTTGACATGGAATTTTCCATATTATTATAGCAGTGACTACATTCTCTCGCTAGTAAGTATAATTATTTCCAAAGTCATTTTCTGGTTGTTTATACATTGTTGAAGTTAGGAGTAACTTATTGGTAAACCTTAGTAACCCTCAAATCCCTAAAAGTGACTGGCTCTTAATTTCTCCTAACAGTACAATCCTTGAATCAATTGTAAAGGTCAGGAGAATTAAGGATATGATCACTAATTTGAGGAGCTCCTGATTGTCAAACAAACTCTCCTCGACAGTACCATACAAAATTTGGAAAGAACAGTATAGCGAGTATGAATACCAGTGTTGGGATGTAAGGGGTTAATTCACTCTCAAGATCTAAATTTAAGTAAAAGAATTTTGGTATTTGGTCAAACAATATTCTATAGTCTGTGACAAATCCCAGTTGACAAGAAAATACAAAACCACCAAAGTAATTAAGAATTTGTCACTTCTTGGAAGTTAAAGAATGAAGATTCTGTACAATGCACGTAATCTAAAGTATCACATTTTAACCATTTTAAGTTCTTACTGACAAGCAGTCTCGACAAAGCTGCTATGATTCAGAGGAACTGAATTAGAACTCAAATGGTACCAGTAGTAAATCTGTTTGGATTTGAACCAGCTGTAAGAGTTGTCAAACACCAGTGTATATTCTCCAACATCAGTTACCAGCACCTGACAAATACACCATAAAAGACCCTTGATCATCAACTGGAAGTTATTGTTTACAAGTTAACCTCAATTATCACTGAGAGTTGGTACACTAAAATAGCCCTAAATGACATGGGAGAATCTGCAGCAGTGGATTCCCCTCTCAAATAACCTGAGTACATTCCTTGTGAAACAGGTTTAAACCAGAAAGGTACATATTGTCTTTTCCATGAGTATAGTATTTATTGTGAAATTATATAACCATTCAGTAGAGTACTTTGAGTTGCCTGTGACCACTGTTAATTTGGCATCTTTAAAATACTGCATGTGGCCTAAAATACAGTATTACCTTGAATAGGAGCACAGAGGCTTCTTTGAAACTTCAATGGGAGGGGGGGGGTACTCATTGGAAGGGTGTATGAAACTGTACTGATTCTGTTGTAGTTGAAGCTTGAAAATTTATAAATTGTGTAATAAAAGAAACAGGTTTTCTGTGTATCCCTACTATCTAAGAAAGTATGGGAGGAACAGGGGCATGGGGGGGGGGGCACTCATTTGAGGGATGCTTGTTTGATATCATGGCATAGGGGATTGGCACTCATTGGGGGGGGGTGCTTATTAGAGTATGCATGCTTATTCATGGAAATATGGTATCACTACTGAGCAGAAAGAATTTAGACTACCTTTACCCTTATGCTAGAAATAAATCAACCTACTTGACCATTCACTGGAGTAACATTAGAGCTAAATCTCTTGCTTTTACTCCACTCTCTGTCTGCTGGTAAACCTGATATGTAGCAACTGTTGAAAAAGAAGTAAAAGCTTGATGCTCAAGAGATGTGTATTCTCTGAAGTAATAGTAAGTTAAAAATTACTAAAAATGTAACTTCAACCTTTAAAACACAACTTTTTCCAATTATACCTTAATAAATTTCTTTTCACCCCTAATTTAACTTTAGCATTAAATTTTGTCAATTTTGGCACTATTAAGTTAACTTTAACTTGAGATTAAAGAATTTAAGCAGAGACATTTCTGAAACATGGATGGCAACTGGAAGCAGAGTAGAACTTAAATTCTGGCCAGTGCATTTTGAAACAAATATATTGACTGTAAGCTTGTCGTTTCATCATTTTTAACTAAACTGTGGTTATCAAAATGGTGTAGTAAGCCCAGCAACAAGAACTTTTAACTTCCATCTACCATCTGCATCTCAAAAACGTTTGTGCTAAAGTACTCCATTAAAACAACATGCTTAGAACTGCATTGAATTTCTCACTATTTCGGACCTCATCAGATCTGTATGGGGAAATCCCGCATACAAAGATGCAATCTCCTGAAATTCTGTTATGAAGTCAAAATGTTATATTTTCTTGAGGTTCAAGTGACCAAAAACTCTCCCTTTCTATCTGTGTACCCTCTATCATATAGTTAACCATAATCAAAACTGTTTCCATTTCAATGAAGATGGAAATGCAGAAGCTGACACTCAGTTTTAACAATGAGATCAGTGATTTTTTAAGAGCTTAAAAAATTGTGCATATTTTGTGCATCATGAAAAATCAGAGAGTAGACTTGGTTTCTCCATCTGTTATTTGCAAACCATGTTCAGTTTTTCTACTTTTCTTAAGTATTTAAATTTCACCAGAAGGTGCAAATGAAAACTGTTCAGAGTTTGATTTACATCGCATAGCTTTGTGAAGACTGCAATACCTGGGATCACTTACCCTATGTCATAGTGATTTGAACAAAAGCCAAACGAGATCCTTGAGAGAGTTTGAGTAACTTTGATGGGAACAGTGTGTGTTTGACCATGAGGTACCAAAACTCCTTGGACCTCAGCTAAAACAAAAGAGACACTGACAATTATTTCATGACACTAACAACTAACTTTCAAGACTATTCTTTTTGAAAGTCACAAATTCAAACTAATTTATAAGTCAGAGCAGACTAATTCCAAGCCCCTAAAAAACTATGATATGAAAATTTTACCTGGGAAATTAGAATTTTAATGTAAAAAATCTACAAATATTATCTAATCTTAAAAAAGACCATGCAAAAATCAAAAAGTTAACTCAACAGGAATAGTCTCAACAATTTTAATCCTTTACACCCTAACATCAGTATGCATATTCTCCATACTGTTCTCTATACATTCCCTAAGGTGCTGACAAGGAGAATTTGTGTAACATTCAACAACTTCTTTAGCTGCTGATAGTTTTCTTTATTCTCATGACCTTACTGCATGATTCAAGAGTGATATTGTAAGGAGAAATTAGATGCTAGTCACTCTTAGGGGTTAAAGGGTTAAGAGTAAAGAAATAATCCTTGCATACAGGCTGCAATCACAGAAATTTCTGCAAAGAAAAGCTGGCCTGTGAAAGGATCCAAAACTGTGCCTCCTAGATATTAAAGGGGTTGGGTTCTAAAAAAACTGTATAACAAGATTATTTGGTATCACCAACTGAGTTGATAATGCAAATTAGCCACTGTTAAGCGTATCAAAGCCGACATTTTGAGCATTGGCCCTGCATTAGAGTGAATGACAAAAGGCTAGAACCCTAGAAACACCAGTTTTGATAATCTGAGAAGTGGCCAATTTACATTTTTACTTATCAACTCAGTTGACAATACCAAATCACCTCCCAAATTAGATGGGTACCATCTATTTCCAACTGAGTTACAAAGCCACATGTTGGGGGGTGCTTCTGAAGTCTATATAGGCATTATAGCTCACTTACGAGGATAAATTCTTTTAATTTCTGTCTTGAACAATGTATGTCACTGGCTGGTCAAAATATCTCTTACCATTTAATCAGTGAAATTATTTTTAAATTATCAACTGAAATAAAAAAAGACAGACCAGACATTTTGCTCATTACACGCAACCAAGACACTCTTAACAACCTAAGTTAGAGATGAAAAGTGTGTTCATTCAATTTACCTCCATGTCTGTCATGATGAGACATTCTCTCTTTAGCTTCAAGTGTTCCCTAAACATAAAAGTTCAAGCTTATTAATCAATGTCTTTATAAATCAAATGAAACCTTAATAACTAATAAATTAAATTAAACTTTGATGACTAATAAATCAAATGAAACTTTAATAACATTCATCATCATCATCATCACCATCAGTTACAACATCACAGTTAACCTTTTCAATCCCAATATCTCATTTGGTAACTCTCCTTACTGTCTGCCATTCAGTTTTTATAATGTTAGTTTAGAGAATTTAGTATTTGATCAATTAATAATCCCCTAGTTGATATTTTTCTATATTCTCATAATTTGTCAGCTTGATATTGTATAAAGGGGAAAATTCTGTGATGCATGATTGACGTACACCTTTAAATCATATTTAACCCGCCAGGCAGTGAATGATACTTATCAACTCAGGAAAACAGCAAAAAGTATAATAATGATAAGCCTGAAAGTGCATATGATTCACACGCCTTGCTAGATCAGGTTTGAAAATCATAATTATAGCTGAGCTCACAGAGCATAGCCCTATAATTATACAAAATAGTAGTAACCCATCAAGCCGAAAAAATTTGGATGTACAACCATACAACCATATGACCGTACAAGGTGCTACTTTTAACATGCGAGGTCAACTATACCACGGGCACGCCAACGCCACAGCTTTGTTCAGTAGTCCAGTGGTCAGTGCACTGGGCTCCCAGTTGGATGACCCGGGTTCTAGTCCTGGTCAGGGCAAGGTGTTGTGCCCTTGAGACGTGCAGGAAAAAAAAAATGCGAGCTCCGCTTTTAGGCTTGGCTAAATCTATATATTAGTTCAAATTGTTTTTAACCATGGAGAATCAAATTTAAGTCACTTGGTCAGCATAATCATTGACATCATAATTATAATAGATAGAACATCAGATTTGTGACTGAAAATCCCACAAAACCCATCCCACAATAAATTGAAAATTCAGCCTTGCAAACTACTAAATGCTGAATATGTATACAATGAATGATTAGAATAATTGAGAGTCATATAATTATTTTGTAGCAGGACCTCAATGATCTTTCTTATCCGTGAGACATTTAGTGCTTGCTGCCATGCAAACATGTTAACAGCCCACTTTGGGATCCAGCCTTTAGGGTCAGCTTGAATGACATAAATTATCTGTTAAAAAATTAAAAATAAAGAGATTGTTACATACGCCTCTTCTGGGCCTGGTGTTTAGTGCACAGGACTCCAGAAAGACTCATTTATCTGTCTGGTGTCACTGTGGCTTGTTCTCAAACTTCATGAAGACCAATAAACAAAATTACTAAGGGCTGTTATAAACTTAAAACATTCTGTAAATTAATTCAACAAACTTCGAACATTCACTGGTTTGATATAATTTCCTATTAACACTTAACTGACTGTATAATTTACGGAAGGAAAAAAACCTTACAATAATTGCACAAAATTAACATAACATGCAACTAAGCCATGCTGCTTTTCAGTTAAAAAAAAATTATTGAACATAGATTTATTCTAACACAACTAAAATTGACTAAACTTGAAGTACTCACATCCATGTATCCTGGGTCATCAACACGATGTTTAAAAACATAACCAGTACTCAGGATTTCTGCTCGCACTAATTTGTAATTCTCCAAAGTGGGACATTCAGGTCTAGTAATTGAAGATCCCTGTCAAATTGAAAAATAGAGGATTATTGTTGGATAATTATTAACAGTAGAATTTTTATGATTATTAATTACTAGATAATAATATAATTAGTGATTCAGCAAAAAATTGTCATCATCCTTATTACCATCCAGTTCAGATCATGTGACAAAAGTTTATTTTACAGTAGCGTGCTTGGTCGCCAAGCATTTGAACAGGAGTGAGGCTGAGGGTGACCTTGTTGTTATGCAAACCTTGCTGCTTTTCAAATGTAAATTACTTTGTTCTCATGCTAACTAGATACTGGTCTTTCTCATAACAAGGTCACCTTCAGCCTCACTCCAAATCAAAGTCTTGGCAACTGAGTACACTGATTAGGGGCAAAGCTTAAACCTCTCAAAAGAATCGCCATTAACATAAAGTGAACTTAGGATTGATGTTCAACACATCTATCAGCTATAAATCTGTCACTTGCAAAGATGCACAACATGAATTGTATACAACACTGTGCATACCACTCCAAATCCAAGTTCATTTCCAGTTTCATCAATGATTATGTCTCCATATTCCAGCCAGCAGACATCTCTGAACCAAACAGGCCCTGGTGACCCCATCACCGCCCACTTGATGGAATAGAAAGGTACTTGAGGGGCTTTGTAATTATCAGGAAACTGATGCAACACTAAACCATCTTGAAAATGAGCATCTGAAGGAAAAAGAAGAAAAATACCAATTGATTTCTCTCAAAGTACAGAATTTTTTACTTCACAAATCTTACAGATTCAACAAAGATCCTTATGGAGAAAAGACAACATTATCAATGAAAATCTCCATTCAGGCTGATGCTTTCTTTTCTGACATGACTGACTCTTACAGCATATACATCACTAATTGTCATGTACAAACCTGCAGTATAAAGCCAGTTAAAGCTTGCTCCATAATTAAGTCCTGTTGAGCTTAGGTCAACATGCAGGCGTGAAATTCAATCTGGCTTTGTTGAAGTCAATCCCAACTGTGTCTTCAGAGTTTTCTAATACATTCAGCTTTAATCAATCAAGTTATTTTGTTCCTTCATTAATACATCACCCTCACCTATCATGTGGAAGAGACGTCGGAACTTTTCTGTAGTATCTGATATCATAAGGGCTCTTGCTTCATCCTTGGATGCTTTAACCCTGGTAACACCACGGATTAGATGAAGCTGTTATTAATAGTGAGGAAGAATAAAAGCTAGGTTAATTATCCTTGCGACTGCCATCTTAAAAAGAATATATAACAATGATGATGACGATGGTGATGGTGACAACGAAAACAACAATAACAATGACTATGATGATGATGGCATGATCCTGATGAATCTCCAGAGGGTCAGGAGATTAATTTTTTTAAACTAATGTTTTGAAATGCTTCAAAACAATAACCCATTCATAGAAAATGAAAATCAGATTTAAACTATGCATGTTATCCACAGTACCTGACTACCAGGCCATGTTCCTTGGTAGACGTCAACATCATTCTTGGTGCAGACATACTCAAAACCCTACAAAGACACTTGAATTGTAAACTTAAAGAAACAAAACCAACATTTTTCAAACTTTCATGATTTTCAAGACTTAACATGAAGATATAATTCATTCAAGTACTAAATGATTCTTAATAACAGTTCACCTCATCAGATGTGGAGGCATCCAACAGTCCCTTGACCCAAGACTGAGCTAGTTTAGTGTAATGTTCTATCTCTTTATCTGTTAAAGGTGTAATTTCTCCAAAGAAATTGTCTGGAACTGGGTACTATTCATCAAAACATAGGTAAGAAAATAGAATTATTAGTTGAAATAAGTCATAAAATATATATCAAATAATATATAGATTTAACCAAGCCTAAAAGCAGAGCTCGCATTTTTTTTCCCACACATCTCAAGGGCAAAACGCCTTGCCCTGGCCAGGACTAGAACCCAGGTTGTCCGACTCGAACCCAGTGCACTGACCACTGGACTACTGGACAAAGCCGAGGCATTGGCATGCCCACGTACAGTTGAACACGCATGTCAAAAGTAGCACCTTGTACAGTCGTATGGTCGTACAGTCATACATCCAAATTTTTTTGGCTTGATGGGTTACTACTATTTTGTATGATTATGAGGCTATGCTCTGTGAGCTCTGCTATCATAAACCAAAGAATTAGTATTGACTTTATATACTTAGCTGACTTCATCTCTGTAGTCTAAGTGTGTAGTACTAAGCATTTTTTTCTTTATTGCATTGTCTTTTCAAATCAAATTTAATAATACTGTTGACTGTAATTTGAAAAATGTAATCAAATGGAGAAAATACAAAAAATCTTTCTGGTTGTTAACAAAAGGCAATAAAAACTATGAAATAATTAGGCTAAAATAAATGTACAGATCACAAAAAAAGATTAAAACTCTCAAAAGTGAAGCACACACTAGTAAAAAAAATTAAAATAAAAAACCGTCCAGCCTTTGTAAGTTTGAAGTGTGGATACCATCACCTGGGACCAACACATCCTGGAATTATTGCAGCAAGTTGAGAAAACTAAAAATTTAATAGCGGAGCTCGTATAATATACAAAATAGTAGTAACCCATCAAGCCGAAAAAATTTGACCATAAGACTGTACAACTGTATGACCATATAAGGTGCTACTTTTAACATGCATGGTCAACTGTAATGCAGGCACACCAATGCCATGGCTTTGTTCAGTAGTCCATCCAGTGGTCAGTGCGCTGGGCTCTGAGTTGGACAACCTGGGTTCTAGTCCTGGCTGGGGCAAGGCATTGTGACCTTGAGACGTGCAGGAAAAAAAAAATGCGAGCTCCACTTTTAGGCTTGGCTAAATCTATATATTCAACACTGTAATAACATATTGAGTAAATATGGTATTTACAAACCGTGAACTTTTTCTTTATATGATTGCCTTCCTCTCCATGGTCTGATCTGAATACCAAAGTTAAGGGATAATGTTCAGGGAAGGAGAAGTATTCCAAAGTTCCACTGAGGTTTAAACCAAAACTGGAAACAAGTTGATCATTTAGCATGTGTAAGATGCATCCAGCTGAAAAATAATTATTCAACAAGGACAAAAAAAACTGATTAATGTTGGTTGAAAAATGGATGGAGATTTAACTTGTGGCTCTTTAAAGTACTAGATCAAGACAGACCGCACAAAAACGGTTGCCTTTATAAAGAACCGATTGATTCAAAATAAATGTACGGTATTTAACCAGACGTGCAGAAGCGACTAACGAGTTAAATATTTGTCCATAGAAGCCCCATAGTTTACAAGGGCTGCTGAATATTATAAAACTTTCATAAATAAACCGTTACTTCTCTTGCCTAAAATAAAAGCTTTCATTTTAACCAATTTTCTCTCAAAAATTGCATAAAGGATCAGAATGAGAACCGCAACACATTTTTGACAAAAATATTTGAACAAATTAAACCTCTAATTGCCAAAAATGTAAGAATTATAGCTTCACTGATGGCAAATAACATTTTTTTGTTTAAATAAATACCAGGAATCTCCTCCAATTTGTTCTTGCCAGGAACGTAAACAATATGGCCGTCCTTCTCTTCCAATGAAAAATCAATTTCTTCTTTCTTTGTGATGTATTTCCTGAACTCTTTCATCTTGAAAGTTTTTCCCAATGCCTGAAAATATTTCAAGGCCTCTCTCTTCTTCATCATGTTCAATCAATCACCACAAATGTAGCCATGATTGTTGTCGAACCAAGACAAATTATTGTGTCACGTGGAGATGGAGTGCGTGACAAGTCAACAACCACAGCCGTAGAGGAAGTGTATATAAGTTGTGTCGGGGGAGGGGGTGGTGAGTAAGGTGATCGAGGTTGAAACCTTAGTATACACTCCAAGCGAACGCAAGAAAACTATTGGAACGCTTTGAGAGGCATCATAGTACCTTATTCCATTTTCAGTCGTGCTCATATTGTTAATTCTTTCTCTGTGACCGTCAGCTCCATAGGGATCACAGATATAAAGGCCAAAATCCATGAAAGCTGGTTGACAAGTGAAGTTAATGGACTTTTGAAGCATATTTTTTTGTTCAGAAAGTAAATGGTTTTCATTAGAAGTGTGGATACTAATGAAACAAATATTCACCGGCGCTAAGGGAGTGGTAACAATTTAAAGGGAATCATTATGTAAATATTACCCTCACTTTCCAAGTCCGCCTCCGTAGCTCAGGGGTTAGAGCACTGGTCTTGTAAACCAGGGGTCGAGAGTTCAAATCTCTCCGGGGGCTGATATTAGGATTTCTTTTTTTTTTCCTTTTTCCATTAATCTGTTCATATATTTATTTGTTTTAATTCATGTATCATGCCACTCGAAATTTTCTTCTTAGTTTTTCAACTAAAAACAACATAAAGAATTAGACTTTAGAGAGTAAATGAAAACTGACCATCTTCAAAGTGTCTCCTCTGCCAACTTACATGTACAACCTGAATATTTAATGTATCAAGACTTTAATTTTTTTAATCGGTACACCAGGACTGTTCAAAATCGTAAATAAACTTATTTTTCACTTGAAATCATTTCAAGATACACCATGTTGTTACTGCTCATTAAAGATAACTTTTAATTACAGAAGTGTTAACTAGAATGCACGTAATTTCTAATGTAATGTGGGAATATTAATGCTTTTCTTAAGGGAAATGAAGTTTTCAATCAATGTCAACAGAACACCACCTAAACGACCAGCTATTATTTGTTTAACTATATACAATAATTAAAACTATTAAAGCAAAGAAAATATCAACGAAAGTTAAAAAAGGTTATGCTTATACTTATAACCATTTGCAAACTAGTCTTTTTTCTTTGAACTAATGTTCATCTAAATATGTGGAGCAAACAGTTGCTCAAGGAAGGTCTGTTGTTAACTAGCCAAAAACAATTTTGTGGTATTTACTTAAAGGTGAACCATTGTAAAAGCCATTTGTGGCTTAACTTTTCTAAAAAGTGTGCTTCGTGTAATTGCCATCAAGGAAAAATTACAAAATTCACTAAAAATGAAGGCCTTTCACGATTTAGGTAGTACTAAGTACTGCGTTCAGGTTCCAAAGAAAGCCTACAACAAACTTTTTAAGCATAACACTTTATCTAAAACTATGATACACACAGAAATATCATATATACACTTCATTCAAAAGCTAATTAAGTTCACAAATCTTATAACCACACTCTAGCAGCTTAGGAATTAACTATCCGTAACTGTTAGATCTATTACTCTGAGTAGCCTCACTTGATATATCAACAATAATATTTTGACCAAGGCAATCAATAAGTTGCTTTGTAAGTGTATGTGTTCAAACACAGTAGGCCAACAGTAGTAACAGATGCCTAGATGACTATCGTTTCTTTCCTCCTACCCAGCTGTCTGCCAATGCATCAATGAAGGCTACCTAAGGCACATATGATTATTCTTCTGATAAAAGTACATGTGGGGATAAAAACTGAATCACGTAAGGTAAACAAAGAAAAACTTTCAATAAAAATATGCCATTAATATACTTACAGGTATTTACAAACACACAACTCTTTCAATACATTTACAGATAAAAACCCCCAAAAAGTGGGAAAGTATTCCACCTCTATCTCAGTAACATACATTTTTACAAACACTATTGTGATCATCATCTGTGATGTGCATATTTGACACATAAATGTACCCATCACAAGGTAAAGATGAGGAGGCCAAACCCTTAGTCTTCCTTTCCTGTCTTGCAGTAAGAAAACATTGTCCAGGAGATAAATATGTTTGAAGGTGAAAGAGAAGTTTTTGAACCAAGAGTCATAAAACTAAAATTAAAGCAATCAGATTTACCTGGCACAATAAAATGGAAATATAAAAAGCAGAGAATGAAGCCACAAAGTTGACACATAGAAAAGGCCTTGATATTGTGAGGACCCCAGGAAACAAGTGATGGAAGGTTTTTGAGGAGATAGGGTCAGTTCCAGGACTGATAGCAGAGCAAAGTGAAACACAACCAAGTCAATATAATCCTTAATTACTTTTGATCTAAGGTGCAAACCCTCAATGTAATGGACATCATGCAGTGGCACTTCAGACAGAGAAAAAGCCAAATTGCCAATCACTGTTAGTGGCTTTGAACTGATAAGGCAATATGTAATCCAGCCAGTGTAAGTAACATTTTCTCCAACAAACTTCTATGGAGCAAACAATATTAAGTACAATGTCTGCATGGGTCAATTCTAACTTAGCTATCTTATAAATTGCTTAAAAAAAAAAAGCCCATTGTATGTAGTGCGATTGAATAGATACTATCTAACAGTAGAAACATCTAAAATACAACAGTAGCTTCTAACACACTGAATCGAATTTATGTCCTTTAGAGATTGAAATGTCTCCAAATGGCTTTTTCTGATGAACATTGATACTGGATTCCTTGCTAAGCAGCAAACAACTGTAAAATTTGTACGCTACTTGTTTCCTACTTCCTTTGTGCACCAAGCTTCCAAAGCTGACAGTGTCTTTTTTGTTGAACTCTCTCTTAAGAGTATGAAGCAGCTGTTGTGTACGTTTTGTCCATCGTCGGTTTTCAAACTGTTCACTTGTCTCAGAGCTTTGTTGCTCTTCATTTGTTTGGGAAGCTGCCAATTCCTGTTCTAGTTCATTATCTTCTAGCTCATCCTTGTTTGGATAAATATCCTCCACACCTCCAGCTAAGAACTGCTCTTCCTCTTCTCCTGGACGTTCAAAATTCTGGTCAAGAGTAACATCGATGGGTTCATCAGGTAATACTGTCTCATTAGCCTCCATGTTGGCAAAAGAAACCGAAGATCGTTTACTAGCTTCATAAATTCCTGATCCCTCCTCTTCTTCTCTTGCAACTTCTGGTTCATCAATGTCCATTTTTTCTTCTGATTCAGCTGTATCAGACCCACCACTGACATCCTTTGTTAGATTTTGCACAAAGGCTTCCACCACTGGCAATGCAAAGAATTCTGTGCCAGGCAGAGCAAAAAGCTTTTCAACGGTTGAAGAAATTTTCAGCTTCATTCTGCACTTTGTTGGAGGAGCGAGTGTGGCTGATCGGACAATATCAGATGTGTCAGACAGTTGGGACTTGATTGCTTCTGTAGCCAACAACTTTTCATCATCAACTATTAGCTTTCTTTTCCTACGACTACGCTTTTCTTTTTGAACAACTTCCACAGGTTCAAGTACAAAGGCCTCTGATTCATTGTGTAACAGAGTTGTTTCATTTGCAGTCTCATTTATAACACCTGTTTGAATAAAAAAAAAAACCAATCAATTAGACTGATTCAAGTTAAGAACACTAGTAACCTTCAGTGTGACTGAGACAATGTTGGTCAGCAGTTTTTCATTTACATTAATTGGGACATTTAGACTTCCTTGTAGGGGGAGAAGATAGAGACAGTTTGTTCTTTTCTTTTTTTTTTTTTTTTTTTTTTTTTTTTTGGGGGGGCGGGCGGGCAGGCGGGCTGCAGGGGAGGAGGAAGACATTAGAGCTTCCCTATTTCAGTCAGGTCTCTCTTCTCTCCCAGGTTTCTTTATAACACTTGCACCAAGTTGCACCAGCTTTAACCCTTTAAATCTCATGCGTGACCAAGACAGAATTTCTCCTTACAATATCTACACAATATCAACCAGATAAGTGACAAGAATTAAGAAAAAGATCAATTTGGGGGTAATTAGTTGATCCAATACTAAATTCTCCAAACTAACATTATGAGAACTGTATGGTTGACAGTAAGAATTACAAATTTGATCTAGGAGTTAAAGGTTTAAAAAAGTTGCACATTTGTACATAGCAAAAAGATTAAAGCAAGTTTGTTAACTTAAGTTTTCCACTGTTTATTTGTGGTCACTTGACACTTACATTAAGTTATTTCTACGTTGCAAGAGAAACTGCATGCAAACATTAGAAACAATGCTTAAGGAACCAATCAAATGTAAAAACAAAAGTAAAGACTCGCTTGGACCAAAACCTGTTAGCCTTAAGCATTCCTTAAGAAAAACTCTAGTGGAATTCTACAGTTGCATTACTAGTAGTCAACAGTTGGCATTTTAAATTGTGTTAAAGGGATCAATCATAGGGAACGTTTGATATACCTCTTGATAACAAGCTTAGTTGGTTAACTATATTGAATCAATGCACAGGGGCTGTGTAGATCAAGAAGCTCCACTTTAAAAATAAAACTCACTTTCTTCTTGTCCAGGTTCAGCACTGGAAGTTTCCTTCTGTTCTTCTGAGTCTAACTTGGTATCCACAGGTTCTAAAGTAACATCTACAGCAGCCAAGGTAGTTGGCAAGTCATCAAAACCAGGAACTAGAGCATCACCACCAAGTTCATCTCCGAATCCATCTGCCAGAAAATCCACACCTTCCCCACCAAATCCATCGTCTTTGATTGGCTCATCAAGTGCTATATCTGAGGAAAAATCTAAATGTAAGCGAAGGATTTTTTTTCTTGCCCTATCCAAAATCATTAATTAACGAATTGCTCATAATGATATACAGAGGGTTCTTGATGAGTCTTTTCACATGCAAAAACAAAAAGTAACAGGTCATATTGTCACAGGGTTCATACACTTTTTTTGTGGACAGAATTCAAGACTTTTTCCAGACCATTTTTTTAATTTTCCAGACTCAAGGTAACAGTGAGATTCTTCATGGCCCAAGAAGAAATAACTGTCTTAACTATGAAAACAATGAATTTAAAAAAATTCAGTTTCAACTGTTTAGTTCTAAAACTTACAGTGACACAACCAAACAATAGCAGTATACTAAATTTCTACCATAAAGCAAGTACCTCAGTTCTCAAAACAATTTTTTACAGTACACTTTTTCAAAAACGTCCTTGGGTTTTTGCCATTAGTGTGTGATTAACAAAGAAGTGAAATCAGCTACATTGCAAAGATTTCAGCTAGCTTTTAAACACCTGCTGCTCCTTAAGAAAAATTCCAGACTTAATCCCATTTTCTTTAATTTCCAGACTTTTTCCAGGTCTGGAAAAGTAGTTCGCAAATTTCCAGACTTTTTCAAGAATTCAAGACTTTGTATGAACCCTGTTGTCACTTGCCTCTCCCCTCCCCTATACTGTACCAAGGGTACTGGTGCAGCATAGAATTAAGGCATTTTGCCTGGCTGTAAGATTGACTTTAAGGAATTAACTCATGCACGTGTCGGTCAAAATAGGAGTGATTTCTTAAAAGTGTGACAACTTTCACCACATAATGACAGCTTGAAAATTTTTATCTTGAAGCATTTTCATAAACAGAAACATGATGCCAATGCACCTTAATATAACTAATTAAACACATAACACAATACCTATCCTGCTCCTTTCTAAAGTTGAGTCTGTGATTGCCTTTGGTTCATCAATAGTGCTCAGTTTAGAGATGTCATTTGTCTTGTTAAGAGGTTCCTCAATGGAAGCCTGGTGTCTGAACATCTCGGTTTCCAGCTCCCCTTCAAACATTATGTCTCCAAAACCATCATCTCCAATGAAGTTGTTCGTGATTATGTCTTCCTTCATTGTAATCTCTTCAATTCTTCCTTGATTAAGGGTGAACTGAGCATGAATTTCAACCTCACTGTAATGAAAAACAAATTGCTGTTTATCAAGATGCTGTACTATTTCATACCATGCTTTTAAAATTCAAGGACTTTAAACCCTTACACCGTAACATCAACATCCATTTTCTCTATATTCCATTTTATACATTTTGTTTGGTACTGACAAGGAGAATTTGTTTGAGATAAGCAAATCTTATTAATATAGACATAACCAAATTCAAGTTATTCATATAAATTTGAAGAATTCTTGTTAGCAACACAATGGCTAATTTTGACATTTTTACCAAAAAATTACAAGGATAGCTCAAAAATTTTCTTATCAGAAACATGATTCCAAGTTATTCAGAGTGTTCCAATGATAAACTCCTTTTCAAATACTACAGTAAAAAGCAATCATAGAGAGAAGGTATAAAAAAAAAAAAAACATCAGCTCACTTGAGTTCAGGCAGTGTCATATCAAGGTCAGTAAAAACTTCTGGCATGGTAACTGCTGCAAATGCCAGCTCTCTTCCCTCTTCAGGCAAATCAACCACTCCTGGGCGGAATGCCATCTTGATTTTTACAAATGCTTCTGTGCAGTCAGCCAACAGATATTTAGTTTTCCTGGAGTATATTCTGACAACACCAAGAAGTAGATGACCAGATGTTCGTAAGGCAAGCTTGACTTTGGGTGAGATGATACTCTCGACTGATGAGGGGAGATCTGTTTCAGAGACCAGTGCCTTGCTAAGCTTACGCTCCCAGTGAGCAGCAAGCCATACTCTGGCCAGTGGGGCCTTTTTGGCCAAGATGAATTGATGATAAAACATGATGCTAGTAGAGCAAAAGGGGCTATATCATGTGTTCCGTCTGAAAGAAAAGAATAAATAATAGTTATTTGAGGTATCTTACAGCAATTTTACTTCCATATGAATTTTGATTTTAACAAATTGCTGAAACCTATGCTCTTTCTTTATCACTTTGCTTGCTAGCATTACTCAAAAATGTTGGAAAAAAATTGCCATTCAAACAGGTAACTCTCAAGACTTGCCCAGATTCCTGTTAATTCTCCAAAAGCCTACCAACTTGTCAACTTCCATTCACCGTTTACAAGACTTTCTACTTGCTCTCTCAGCAAGAAAATGTAAGCTTTTGATAAGAAATGATTGACAGAAGAGGAGTGTAAAAGTAACAGACACAGCTTCACATCTGAATAAAAAATAGCTCAGGTCATTGAGATTAAGCCAAAGAATTCTACACTTACATAACCAAAGAATTCTTCAATCTCTAATGCATCACAAACAACCTCAAAGAAATACCCTGGTGTCAAGTGATTAACCTTGCTCACTTTTATAAACCAAACCACGCTAATAAATGTTTCAGATTTTTCTCATCTCATCATGCTCTCATATACTCATCTAACTTTGCAAACATTTATCTCCTCTCTTCTTATCAAAAAGTCCATTGCTGGGTTGTCAGATTGTTTGAGATAGGAGACTGTTTCTTGTTTTTTGTTACTTCCTCAAAAGGAAACCAGCCATAAACATTTTTGTTTTAGTTTCCCACAAGTCTCCCTAAGAATTTTTCGTTCAATCATGATTTTGGTTACCAAAAGGGTTTCATGTTTCTTTGTACTATACACATCCTCACCAAAAATGGTTTCACATAATTCAAGAATGGGTATTGAGGTTTTTTATTCAGCAAAAATACAATTTTTAACCCTTTCACCTCTTAGAGTGACTAGCATCTAATTTCTCCTTATAACATCACCCCAGAATCACACATGAAGGTCATGAGAATTAAGGAAATGATCACCACATAATGAAGCTCTTGATTGTTAAAACAAATTCTCCTTGTCAGCATTTTGGGATATGTGTAGAGAACAGTACAGCAAAGATGCATACTGATAGAGGTGTATAGGGATAAGAGGATCCTTTTTGAAAGTCACACATCTTCAAAAATAGCCCTTGATCCATTAAACAAAACAAATAATTTATGAATGTTTTAATTTTGTGGTCATTGGAAAATACTGAATGTCACATCACAACTTGGAGGTTCTATTAATTTCAATCAATGGCCTAAGTTATTTAGCTGTAAAGCACTTTGGTTATCACCAATAATTGTTGACAAAAACTGCCAAAAATAGCAATTACTTCTTTAATATCTGCATGTTAACCAAAAATACACATGTTCAAACATGTACATCCATTACCAAGAAACCGAAATTTGTTCAACAGGACCTCTTATAATGAAAGTATTAGTTCAAAGGGATTTGACTCCAAACTAGACTCAACCAGGAACCATCGCCACAGAAGTTTCAACAAATTTCATTTAATATTTTCATTCTGTGAAGTATCGCTAAAACGTTCATCGATCATTATTTGTGACACAAACAAACGTCAAAATTGTCCCTCAAAATAACTTCTGAGACCTGTTTCGTTATTTGAAAATTTGAATTATATGTAAACTGTGAGATGAACTTGCTGCAGTTCCCTTACAGAACTTCGGAAAAGACATTTCATCGAGACTGAAGGAACATAAAATTTATCACAATTACTCTCGACTAATTTTAAAAGGTTCGACTCACGATAAACAGTAAAAATATAACAAACGCACGAGTGGTAAATTTCAATTTCGGTCACGATAACCAGGTTAACGTTTTTCGGTTACAGGAGTTGTTTCGACCTCAACGGTTGACAAGACATCTTTTCTGGTAATCAAAAGCGCTAATTTACATTGCTGGCCACAGATATATCTTCATGAAGCAAATTTAGCCAAAAATTGTCGCTTAAACTGCCCCAAAATTGGTATCTCGAGGCAAATTAGTGACAATTTGCAAATTTCGCCAAGTCGGCCTGACAAAAAGCTTGCGTTCGCAAACAAGCTTCTCTGCAAGATTTAAACTCAACATGACACTATAAAACGTGATGTAGAGCAAAATAGAAGCTTTTCAGCATGAAAACTGGACAAATTTTTAAATTTTGATTGATTCACGAAGCGAGGAAAACGACGCCAAGCGAACTCAACTGGTATTGTGTTACTTTGTTATAAGCGGATAGAAGTTTGTCACTGAAAAAAGCAATAAGGACGGAGCTTTACGTCTAATAAATAAACAAACGAATACTAAATGCATTATTCTTCGACACTTACCAGTTTCAGTTCGAAATAAGCATTAAAAAGAACCATAAAATACGTTTTTTTCTTCCCTATTATAATTCAATATGGCAGCCACAATTCGAACGTTCAACGAATTCCCGCCGAAATTTGCACATCACGTGATTTTTGACACGGCTACCAAGGAGCTCCAGCCGTCGCCATGGTGACCGTTAGCAATGAGCTCTTCCCGCCTTTAAAGGGGCATAAACAGAGAATGGAGGGAGACACATTACCATACCAGGGCTCTGCGGAAGGAAAGATCAAGGATCCGACCACGCAAACGCATTTCCATGAGTGTCCTCTTCTGTCTCAAGCAAAATGATAGGAAAATATTGCCACTCAAATGGCTCCGAATTGATCAAACGACTTCACTTTCATTTGAACATGTCTATCGTAAATCTAGAGCAGACAAAATCGCAAATAGAGGTGAAAGCCAAGGTGATGGATTTCCCGTTCTGTTTTCACAAAAAAAAGCTTCAGTTTTGAAACCGTTTTCATCAGCGTTTATAGGCGCTCTAAAGCGGATGATAGGCAAAAAACGTGTCAGAAAGTATTTAATTCGTTTTCAAGCAAAACGTCATTAGTGTAGATGAGGTCTCGGCTATTGAAGTCCTACATTTTTTCCACAATAAACCAGACTTTCCAGTATACCAAGAATAAATGAATCACTCTACCAAGGAAGCAGAGAAGTTACATTTGACTGCATCTCCAAATACAAAAAATACTATACAAATACGAAAACCACCTATTGTATTTTCTGAGGGCTTAGATCTAAAAGAGAAAACAAGATGATCGTGAGGGGTGAGAGGTACACTTTGCCCCTGCCACACCCTAAAAATTAAAGTAGTGCAAAAATCATTGCAAAGGTAGCGTTAAATTGGTTTCATTAAAGATGCGATTCTGTTTCACATATCCTTTCAGCTGGACCTCACTTGGAGAAATAACTTAATGAGAAGACTTGTTTTGACGATATTTTCCTTCCCCCAGCCTTTGTTACGTTTCAATACGCTCTAACTCTTTTTTATGCCATTTTGAAAATTGGTCAAAAGTCTCCAAAACACTCTTTCGCTCCCCGTTACTGAGTCTGTCCAGTAGGGTCACATAAGTTATGCTCGAAGATTTGAGCATTTATGCTTTTGAGTGTCACCGAAACATAACGCCCAAAAATTATCTTCAAAAGTTTCCATTATGCTTTATTCAGTAATTGAAAAAAATGGATTTAAGAGACCTTCAACTCTCGAAGTTTATGTATTTTACGCGTCCTTCATAATGCTAGGGCCAGCGATGTCGATATATCGCCATGTTTGTAAATGGAATAAGAAAGATCGTAAGTTTCGGTTAAGCCGGAAATAGAGAAAGGTGTTTTTCGTCTTGTCACGAGCATAGGACAAAGAAAAATAATGCTCAAGCAGCTACGTATCTGGCCTGACTGATTACTTTGGAGTTGATTCAACGACACCAAACAACAAAAACATAAGGTACATATCACGACTGTCTAGGAGAAGTAAAAACGCCTCAGTCTTCAACACAGCGGTCAAATGATTGCAGCTGTGCACTATGATGGATACTCTGCCCTTGTGAAAATGGAGAAATCATATAAGACGTAGTTTTTCGCAGTTTCTAAGGAAAGCTCGAAGTTTCTAAGACCAAGACTTATACGCATTGTTGTTCTGGACTTTACCCACTATGTGTTAGTTTACATACTCGTACTTTTTTTTTTACACTTTGCACGGTGGCCTGATGAAGACGTCCGTAAACTTGGCCGTGCTGGCTGTAGTTATTTTTTGTTGCGTTCATAGCGGAGTTGCAGGTCAATAACGAGGGAAATGTGTGAAAAAAGGAAGAACCAGAGCCACACGAAATATTTGTAACGATCACAGGTCTGTGTTTACAGTGGAAAGTAAACTGAGTAGCAAGGGTAGAAAAAAGGTTCCGAAACGAAGAGTCCACGTTAAAAACAGTTGGTACATCTCACAATAAAATGAAGCCAATACTTAATCTTTCTCCAAAATCCTTTTTCATTTGTCTCACGTATTGGAATAGCTAGGAATTCCTTCTTCTTTTCCTTACTTTACGCTAAACACACGTTCCGAAATCCCTCTTTTTGTTTTCAAACTCTCGTGCATGCGCAGTGTTTGACAGCTGTGCTCCAGTCTTCACGCGTCTAACGTTCCGGACTCCACCACCCCTCCCTCCTTGAAAACAAGAACCTTGTCACAGTGTCGGATAGTGTTCAGACGGTGAGCTATAGTTATTACTGTGCAGTCTTTCAGTTTCTCTCGCACCACTCTCCAGATTGTTTCTTCTGTCCCTGGATCCACGTGTGCAGTGGGTTCATCCAAGATGATGATCTTGTTCTTCTGCAACAGCACACGAGCCAAACAAATCAACTGTCGTTCTCCTACACTGACATTTGCACCATTTTCCGACAATTCGTAATCCAATTGTCCCTCAAGACTTTCCACGAAACCTTTCAGCTGCACATCCTCTAAAACTTGCCACAGATCCGCATCTTGGAAGCGCTGCACAATATCCAGATTTCTCCGCAACGATCCACTGAAAAGCAGCGGAATTTGGCCAAGGGTGGAGATACATCCTCGAACTGCTTGGAGACTGATATTCTTTATCTTCACTCCATCCACCAGAATCTCTCCGTCAGGATCGGGCATGCGCAATAGAGCTGCTGCAAAAGATGATTTCCCCGCGCCCGTCCGTCCTGCAACACCGATCTTTGAGCCTCCTTTGATGTCAAGATCGATGCTTTTCAGTGCTTGAGGACCCCCCGGGTAATAAGTTAACGACACATTGCGGAATATGATATTTCCTTCGCGAGGCCATTGTTCGGGGGGAATTCTGTCCACTTTGTATCCAGGCTCTGAGTCAAGTTTGGTGTAGGCCATAACTCGTTCAACTGACGTCATAAAATTCTCGACATCTGATGATTTTCTGACAGCGTATTGCGTCAGAGCCACTGTTTGAATGACGTAAGCAAGAGCAAGTCCAGCAGAAACTGATAAGAAAAAAAGAAAAAGAAAAATTAACAAACCATGAGATTATAGATGATCGATGACAGCTTTTCTCACGTCATCGAAAAACTATCGATAGTCGTTCTCAACTGAAGGTGTTCGTGAGGTAATGAAGTCTAACCTTTGTCAGTAGCACGTCGTTCGTAATATCAGTGCACTTTGAGAGAGCGAGGAGGAGGAAAATATTGGCGGTATCACATGGTTTTCAAGGAGAGTGGAGGGAAGACAAGTCTTCGACAACAGATCGAGTATAAGTCGTATCAGGCAGTACAGAAATTAACTGCCAATGTATGGGGGAGGAATGAAAGAACTATAGAGCCATGGGAGGGAGGTCAGATCGCTACCCACCCCTCTGCGAAGAATTAGGACCGGTTCCTCAGCAGTAGAACTATGGACCACTCCATACGACACATTTTGTCACGGGAACATGTTGCAGCGACATGCTATTGGTGTTCTATGCACATTTATACGGGAAAATCTTCATCAAACTCAGACTGATTTAGTTTCGCCCTTATGGAGGAAGTGAAAGTGAAAATTAATTGTTTGACTTGTTTCTAGGTCATGAGCAAACCCAGCCAGCGAGAAGTCTACAAGGGATTGGGCACTAGAATAAGGACAAAGACCTCATGCAGATCTCTTATAGGCTGGCTTCGCTCAACACCTCCAACGTATTCGTGGACGAAGTAAGGCGTGTTCTTTAGCGCTCGAAATGAAGGCCTGCACGTAGGTTAGAAATTCACTTACCAGCATCTTGAGATATCAAAACTGCCACCAAACTCACTAAGCCGATGAACAGAGAAATGATCGCATCCAGGCGGACACCGAACCATCTGCCACTCGCCATCACCATGATAAAAGACTGGCCATGAGTGTCTTGGTAGCTGTCCAAAGGGAAATAATATGCCCAAATTGACTAAGTCGCCAAACTTGGTCAATAAGTATCTTATCATATGAGTGTTGAAAATTTGGCTCAGGACTGGCTCACGTCAAACCTCTTCGTTCGGCCCTGCACCCGTCAGCTCTTACTATGGTTTTCTATGGGACTGTTTGCGCAAGGCCGTGCGAGTCATTTGATATTTCATTAAATAAATTGACGTATACTCTCTACAGTTCAAATGTTTAGTCCGCGTAGCACTTTCTCTAGTCTGAGTAACGCAGTGGAAAAGAGGGAGAAAGATAAAGAGAAGAGGGAAAAGGAAAGAGCATTTTCTGCAGATTTTAGTTCGAGATGCGAATTGTGGCCCACTACACCACGCACGCTTTACGAACCAGGCTTGACTTGCACGTGAACGAATCGCACGCTTACCTTTTAAGTTTACATAAGAAAGATGCACGAACTTACCTGTAAAACTTCTCAATAAAGTCTGACTGTCTTCCTCTTGTTCGAATCGTGTCCAGCCCCTCAAGAGTCTCTGTTATGTGAGAGAACACTGGGCTTCGACATACTGACTCCAACCTTTTCAGTTCCCTGGAACTTTTCAAGTAGAATCTTGCGAAGTAAAGAACCGTTAGCGTCACTGGAATAGTGACAAACAACAGCCAAGTATTCGTAACAGAAGGCACGATAACAGATGAGAGAAACAGCAACACCAACTCTATTGAAATTAGAAAGTCTGGCGGTAATAATTCGTCCATGCAACCCACGTCTTTAGAGAAGCGATTCAGGATTCTACCCACAGGATTTGAATCAAAGAATAGAACAGGTGCTTGTAAAAGAGCCACAACCATTTTGTCATGAAGACGCTCAGAGCATCTGAGACAGACCAAAAAGAAAATGTAGGCTCTGATGATGCCGAGCATGAAAGAGGTCGCGACGAAAAACCCATAAATGGTTAGATTTGTCTTGTCTCTCTGTTCTGTTGGAAGTTTCCAGGTCAAAAAGGACAACCAAACATCAGGGGCAACCAACAATGCTAGAAAAAGGGAGAAATAGCTGTCGAGTAATTAAAACACCTATGCTTACTTAGATACTTCATTTCCAAGAAATTTTCACAACACCAGGGGACTTGTCATGTTTAAGGGACTGGTAACCATTTTTTGCCCGGGTGAAGAAGAGGGAAGGGGAGGATTTTGAGGAAATCAAATGGTCTTCAGGGGGAACGGGGGGTTATCAGTCGCCCCCCCCCCCTCCTCAAGGCGATAAAAATGAATGGTCCCTAAGTCCTAGCTACTTCAGTATAGTTTCGTACCCACACCTCCCACGGCCAAGTGATTTCAGTTAAAGCTACACGGTAGGATCTGGGTACGAGTTTAGCTTCAATAATTAAGGCTCACCCTGGGTAAAGAGACACAGAAAAATAAATCCAATGACCAAGAAGGAGTGGATACCACTTCTGAAGTAGTCCCAGTAGAGCTTGCTTGACACCGTTCCGATTGCTCGATCTTCAACAGATATTTCGAGACCACTGCTATCAGTAGCAAGTGGCATCTTATCGCTGCGTTTTTCTTCTTTCTCCCTTGCGGAGTTGTTGGACTTATTCTCTGTCAGAATTTTCGTGTAAAGTGGGTCGATGGTGGTATTTAAAATGCCTTTAACATGAAGTTCCGCGAAGGTCCCCTTCCCCAATACGCGACCTTTGTGTAGCATAATCACTTGATCAGCATCTTTCATGTGTTGTTCTTGATGAGAAGTTAACAGTCGGGTCTTTTCACCAAGCATACCCTTGATACACTCTTCAAAGATATGCTGACCAACTTTGAAGTCCACACAACTAAGCGGGTCATCCAGCAAGTAAAGGTCTGTATCCAGGTACACTGCGCGTGCTAAATTTACTCTTGCACGCTGACCACCACTAAGAACGGCACCGCGCTCACCAACAACGGTTTCGTCACCGTTCGGAAACTGCCGAAAGTCCTCCGAGAGGGCGCATGCCTCGAGTACTTTGGTATACCTTGGTTTATCGTACGGCGCCCCAAATATAATGTTTTCCCTTAAGGTTCCAGAGAACACCCAGGCTACTTGTGGCGCATACACAAAAGTTCCATGACGACGTATCGTCCCACTTATGGCTGACATCTCGCCAGCGATCGCTGAGAGAAGAGTTGACTTGCCGCAGCCTACTGGCCCGGTAACGACTGTCAAGGTTCCTGATTGAGAAAAGAACTCCACATCTTGAAGAATAAATTCATTTTTCCTTTTCATTTCCTTTAACGTTAAACTGGACACATAGAGAGTTCCTGGCTCGGAAGGGTTTACCCTCTGATCGGTACCAAGTTCTTCTTTTGATTTTTTCGACTGACCGCCCATAAATGTAAAATCGTTCTGTAAATTAATTAACTTTTCCTCTACCGCTCCACATTTGTCTTCCATACACTGATTTCCCAACATCGACGATAAATCTTCTGAAATATTAAGAAAATCTTCTATTCTGCCAAATGACACAAATGCTTCATATGTTCCTAACACATGAAACCCAATAGTAAGGCAAAAATTTTGTCTTAACAGGTTCATGAACATCAGGAGCATAAAAGCATTGACAGGAGTAAGAGGCTGACCAGTCAATAGCAGAGAAATAACAGACAGCAGAATTGGTATTGAAGTATACGTCAAGGCAGCCAAACCCGAGAGAATAGCACTTTTCTTACGGATGATGTTGATTTCCCGTCTGAAAGAAGAAAAAAGCATTGTTGCTGTCGGACAGGCAAATTTAAAGAGCTAACGAACTGCGCGCTCTCTGATTGGTCAAATACCTATATTCCATCAAACCCTGACATAAATAATAGCCTCCATTTGGTATGAATATATGCTTAGAAATTTGTCCGCGAACATTATCTTGGGTAATATCCAAAGAAAAGAGCAGAAGCATATTTTTGGCGCCAAATGGGTGCTATTTTTTTATGGTCTTAAAATATTTTTGGAACGTGCAGGACAAAATGTTTACGAGCAGGTTACCATTTACTGTATGGAATGCTAACTTTTTGATCATATCTGGTACGACTTTATGAACAAATAAACCTGTCCCTTCCCCTGAAATACCACCGAAATGCTCTTTCGTCTTGAAATGAATCTAAAACGGAGACTTTAATCGTACACAACGCAAGGTTTGAAAATTGAGGAATATTCGGTCACGTGACGCGTTTAGACCAATGGCGCGCGAGCAAAAGTATTTGATGGATTATAACATGCATTATGATTCATCAAATACTTTACTCGCGTGCGATTGGTCTATAAACGCATCACGTAATTGAATACTCCTCAGCTAAAACTGGGGGATATCCGATATCACCCGTGTGATATTCCCCACTGTTCAAACCTTACGTCTAATACGATAACTCATAGTTTAAAACTTAAACCAAGATGAGAGAGCGTTTAGTTACTTTTACAGAAGAAGAGAAATGTATTTTCTTTTCATTGGGTCGTACCAAAGAACAGTCAGAAGAAAACATCTCACGGAGCCAACAACAAGCTTTTCGTGCGCATTTTTTACGCGCTTGGCAAAATATTAGAAGGATAACAAACACAATAGCCTCTATTTTGCGCAAAAATATGTTCGTATATTCTTCCTTGGAAATTATCTGTCCCTCGATACTGAAATTTTACCTCCAGCTTGGCTCTCGAAAAACTGTTCGAATCTAGGAACAGACAATATCCGCGGACAGATATCCGTGCACATTTTCGCTCCAAATAGAGGATGTTGTTTACATGAATCTCTATAGCGTGTATGTTTTTTTGTACCCATTTCAGGTCATGTGATGATATTCTAGTGAACTGGTTCTTTCAAATTTCCTCTCATTCACGTGCATGCACGCATAATTTGTGAAATTAGAAAGAAAAACTTCTCTAGAGTATGATCATATGACCTAAAATGATAACAAAGCATACAATTCAAAGTGATCTATTTAAAAGTATATTCCATTTTGTCAGCTCACCAGCGTTAAAACCTGCGTAAGATCTTAACAAAATGTCCAACAAAATGGTTCAATAAGTTCTCTCCCTGGTTCATGATTTCAATGACAAACGTTTGTTATGGTCTCCCAACCGGTAAACAGACAGTATCACGTCATAAACACACTAGTTACGATGCGTAGCTATTGCAGTAGGTAAAAAAAATTTCCCCCTACTTTCGTATATGTTTTATTTTTCCTCTGAAATCATCCTCCCACGCACGTGCTTTGATAGCACGTATCCCAGAAACCATTTGGTTCGTCAAAGAAATTCGTCGATCAGCTTCCGCTGCTGCGCGCAGACGCAGTGCAGCGTAGACAGAGGACATCTCAACGTAATAGGGTACAAGAAGACACAGAAATAACTCTCCCATGAGTGCCTGCCAGCCAATCAGATACGCGAGTAGAAACGTGGCAACCATGATTTGAAGGGTGGCTGAAAACAGAAAAAAAAACTTAGGAGGTGCTGTCTCAATCCGTTGGACATCATTTGATATGAGGTCAATCACTCGTCCTGCTGAAAACTTTGCCAATTTACTCTTGCTGAGCGATAAGATCTGAGAATAAAACAAAACAAATGACAAAGTAGGTTTTTTTAAAGGGACAAGTTGTTATTTACCGCTGGGGAGGCGAAGGGGGGAGGGGAGCGTCGGAGTATTTTGGGAGGATTACGTGGTTTTCAGCTGGAACAGAGCGGAATCATTTACCGTCAACAGTGTGTAAAGAGGGAGACCCTTTATTATAAGTAAAATTTCTACAGTCTGGGGAACATAAGAATATTATGGAACTTTATGGGGCATCACGTAGTTTTTATCGTGTAACACAACCAAAATCCTCCAGCGCCCTTCCCTTCCCCACCCTCGTAGGCAATAAATAATGATTAATTGAGAATTTGGCTGATTGAAATGGAAAACCAAAGTGTACTGTAACGACCAACTATAATAGAGATGATATATATCTTACTGGACGTTTTGGTGTGTAGTGTCGCCGAGTATTTTCACGAGTTGTGCCGTATTTTGTAGGGTGAGTCACAATGCAAACAACAATTTAAAATACTCAGCGATGATACACACCAAAACGTCTAGTAAGTCATTTATTGTCCAACTGCTTTTTTTCTTCTAAATCTTTCCGCTCATTTCCCATAAGGTTGGAAAAGCAAAGGGAATAGAGAAGCTAGCACGCGCAGCCAACTGATCAAATAGGTTTTTTAACAGAACAAAATAACCAACAATATCGTAGGATATTTGTACTCTATTTGCGTGTTATTTGTACAATACTTTAAGCAGTTTGATAATAAAATTGTATACAACACAGGTAAATGATGTTTTTTAAGCGAGCTGATTGCTTAATGATTGGCAAGTACAACAAACCTCCGCGCAAACAAGAGATAATTTCGAACGCCAAGATTCTGGGGAAGTATACAATGGACTGGCAGATTATATATGATAGTTTTAAATTAGATTGGTAAGGAAAGTTGCGCGCAAATCTTCTGGGGCAAGTATTTAGTGTTGCTAAGGAAAGTACTAAAAGAACGCGGTCCAAGATAATTTACTTAGACACTCGTTTGAAAATTTCTCTCACTTGTAACAAATGTTAGGGTCAGAAAAATATTGCATCAAAGGCGAAGAAAAAATGGAGGGAGTAAGATTGCACACTCTCCCCAACATAACCCAGACTCATTCCCAGTCCTCTTCATAGCGAGGACCTCTTTCGTCCCCACTTATGCACCGCACCCATTATGAAGAAGACTACCCGATCAGTGCTCACCTTTCTGTAAACGAGACCTTTTATCGCGTTACTCAGTCTGATGCCCAATATTTCACACGCGTAAGCCTGATGTTGCATGGCGATGCTGCCGACCAATGTGTTTATAGCGATGGCGGCTGCTAACGCACTACCGCGAAGGATGTGATTCTTATGCGTTTCAGGTGACATTAGCATGAAAATTAGATATCCAATGAGCAATGGTGTGACGAGAGAGCCAATGCCGTACAGGATGCCTGATGGAACAACATAGCTAAGCTCCCCCAAGGTAAGCGTCTTCATCACACTTTTCCACAGCTTCGGCCTTTCCTCCTTTCTTGTAGAATTAGTTATTTCTTCTTTCCATTTCTTCTCAAGACGATCTGTGACTGACCGCGTGGCGTTCTCCTTTGAGAGTGCTACAAAATCTCCTTCCTCTAGGGCTCGTTGACTGCCTGTCACCATTACATCGTTCATCCATCGCAATAAAAGGTGAGAGACAAAACCAACTTTCTCAGAAGAGTCATTGGTGGAGGAGATTTTCCTGTAGCCATTTGTTGCCATAGTTCTAAACAACGACAAAACATGATCAATTCAAGGTGGGGGGGTGAGGTGGAGGAAGGTTGGAGTTTTTTTTCTTTTCCTTTATTTTTTTCGGTTTTTTCACGATAAAATTAACCCTATACTTCCAATAAGGGCTGGATTATGTTCATGATTTCCCTCATTGGCAGTTCATTGGAAGCCGATTTTCTAAAATAGCCCTTTCTACTCTGTTGGCGACGACTGTCCCCTCCCCCCACCTTTGCTCCCACTGAAAATCATATATTGCTCACCCACGAGCAGCCAAAGAGACAAAATCACGCTGCGGGAGTTAAATTTCGATAATTTCTCGGTATATTAACAGAAATTATTGGTATTTTTTTGGTTTCTGTGGGGTATTTAAGAAAATGATCATTTAGCGCAGTTTCGGTAAAAGTGGTGGATAGTATTGCCGCGCTACCTCGTAGCTCGGTAAATATCCACTATAGGGGTATACCACACGGGTGAATAATACTTTTTGCGTGCGCTGATTTGCTGGTTTGGAAGTGATTTGCAAGTGCTATTCATTCCTGCGTGGTCAAGAGACTGTCAAAATAGGGCGTCAACTAAATTAAATTTCCAACCTATTTTAAGCTTGTTGACAGAAATATATAAATTATTTGGGCAACTATTTGGTAAATGCTAAGACAATTATTAATCTCAGTGTCGGCGAAAGTAGTGAGTAGATACCTCGCCGCGAAATATCCGCCGCTATTCACCGACACTGAGGTGAATAATCATCACTTGTTACTTTTTCTCGCGCACGCCTGGTCTGAACGCATCACGTGGTCGAATATGCCCCAGCTAAAACTGGGGCGTATCCAAGGATATGCCCCAAGTAATATTCTCCAATTTTCAACCCCGGTGTCAACTAAGATAAAGGTGCTCCTTCAATTCGAGACGAGAGAGCGTTTGTTTGTTCATTAAGTTGCACCAGAGAACACTTAAAAAGAAACATCCAACGCACGCAGCATACAGCGAGCTGTTCGTAAACAGTTCTCCTTCGGGTCGCAAAAACACTTAAAGGATAATAAATAAAATAACAATAGCCTCCGTCTGTCGGGAAAAAACGCTCATATGTATATATTTTTTTTCTGGGACATTATCTGTTCCTCGTAGCTCACAGTATAAGCTCGAGTTCGTAACTTTAACTGAATTCCTTATGCAGTAGTCGCCAACTATCGGTTTTCGATCACAGTTCAAGCGTCTGTTTGATAACAAAGCGCACCGACCTCCAACATGAGGGACGCAGAAATTTTTTTTTCCACACGAACCTCAACTCCTGATAAAAATCTTATTAGAAAACTCAACTAGAAATCATCCCCAAAAGCGAATTGCAAAATTCGACTCGAAGTCCTAATTAAGAATTTAGTTTGTCTTTGCTATTGTTTAGATGTGTCATGCAACGAGACCTTCATTGCTTATTTTCAATCGTCTAAAAAGTTCCAGCCGACGACAAATTTCCTAAATGAGATTTCAGGTTGAATGCTATAGCCACGGTGTTCAATGCAAAACATTGGCAACTAACTCTCAACTTTTTGTCAGACCTTTGACCAAAACACCCGCCAAAACTACTGATTAACCCCAAAATTTATTCAAATGTACGCTAAACATTCTTCCTACGGCAATCAGAAAGGCCAAAGAATCGGCTAATTCTATATTTTTCTGGTAGAACGCTGTTTTAGAAGATGAAAATTGGCAAGAACATTTAATAGCTGTAAAACGCCAGGTAGTTTATATCTTTTGGTTGTATTGTCACGAATCTGTGATTTGCATGATTAAATTTGTCTTACAATAAATTGCTTTGGCTGAAAGAAGTTGTAATTAAAAAAAAACCTTTTAAAAAAGTTTATTCAAGAGGTTTATACTTACCAGCTTACTTCTTTATTTTTTCCTGGGGAGAACTTGTACTGGCGAGAAAATTCCTTGACCGCCAAAACTTCGGAGAAAAATAGCAATCCAATATAGCGGGGATTAGAGCCAGTTCCTCATTATCCATTGTAACGACATTCAGTGTGTGACAGCTTTGGATCAAAAGTGCCTACTTCTTGGGCGGATAATTACTTTAAAATTACAATCGAACTTCGCGCGCGAAAATGAATTATTTACTGATCGCGTTCTGATTGGCTAACAAAGTGCATGCTTTATCAAAGTACAGTTGGGTCGCACAGAGTAACAGTGTCACGCCATCGAACGATTTGAACAATGACCGACCATTTCTTGGAATGTATCTGCCGGTTCCCCTTTTTTTTAACCACAAGTCTTGCTTTACCTGTAAGACGAAAACGAAAACCAGTTCTTCGACCACGTCTCACGTTCCCCCAACAGCTTGAGTGCTCTAGTAACTCTAGTGAATGCTTTGCAACAGAACAAAGCACAGCCAAGGCTTCTTTATTTCTAAAATAAAAATAAAATAAAGCTTTATTTGCATACGCACTTTGTACAGACAATTGCACTTAGTTTCTAACAACAAATATTCATTAGTTTAGTTCAGCTAATCTGGTGATTTTGAATGCAATTTGGAATAATTAAGCACGACTATTTTTTTTCAACGACCAACAAAATCGCAGTTTGTAATCTTTGAAAAGATTAACGAGCGCTTTTTCACTCCAAGTTATACGAAAAAAATCGTTTCATAAGTTAATTAAAAATGTATGTGAGAAAAATGAAAGAGGCGTTTTTCATAATTATGCAAAATTCATAATTATGCAAAGCGCGATAATCGCGCCAAAAATAATTCATTCAAATTCTGTCATTAGGAGCTCAGTGACAAAAGTTACTTTTTTTAAAGTTTTTTAAATCGTAAAAAAGATTCAAAGCTCTGCTTAAAAGTTTGTCACATTTCTAACAATGAATCAGGTATGAGTCTGCACTGTATTACTTCTCTTCTTAAAATGTTTGTCGTTAGACCCGCATTCCTGTCAGTCAATCAGAATGAATAAATGGTTTTATGTGCACAGCAGAGACCCGCTAACTCAAAGTCACTTAGCTCGAACTACCTGCTAACTCGAACAAAATGCGATTTGCTCTGGATTTGACCTCGTTTATTCAGTCGTCTATTTTCAGCTGACATAACTGATTGATTCAAAGCTGATAACATTTATTAAATTGTAGTGCATCTAGCTAAACTACCCAAACTAAATTTTCCTATCAAACGACTCTTAAAAATCAAACCAAATGTATCAAAATCAATTTTGGTTTTGCAAGAATGGTAAAAACACGATTCCTTGTTACTCATTAACAGAAAATTGAAATTCAGCACCAACCCTGATAGCTTAGACCCCAGCAAACTCGAAATATTTTTCGTTCCCATTGGGAGTGTAAACGGGGTTCTACTGCTCAAACGATAAAATAAAGACCTAACTGAGGCCAAGGGAAAATGTTCCGCGTCAAATGTTTAAGCCCAAAGTATGGAACCTTTCCTCCTCGAAATTAAACTATCAAACTCCCAAAGTGTAGGAGAGAGTTGACTATTGGCAAGAGAATACAATGAACCGAGAGGGAAGATCAGGGTGTTCGCTGAGATATTGAGATTAATTCGTGGAAAGTGCGCACGAACTATTTTTATTCACGAGTTTACCCGGACGTCCGCATTGTGGTTTCCCAATGTAGTGTCCAATTTCGAAGTTATTATCACTTATGTTGGGAGTTGGTGCGCTCCATTATTCAGATGTCGCTTGAAAACGGATTGAAAACCCAGTTGGCAACTACTGTATAAGGAGTTAAGGTCGAATGACTTCTTTCTGTTCAACAATCACTTCTTCACACACAAAATCTGGGCTTTTAAAGGGAATTCAATAAAACAAGTCTCAACAGAGTCTTCGTTTTCGAGCAAAAAAACGCATGACAAAAAACATAACAATCCTAACTCAAAAATATTGTCCAGTTTATATCATATTCTCTTGCATTAATTCATGTAATAAAAAGAAAGAAGCGAAGTCTCAATGAAGTTAAAAGTTAGCCGTAAAACGACCCAAAGATTTAATCTTTTGGCGTAGAAATTGACAAATTTTAAGCGTTGGCGTAAAAAAGGTTATCCGTAAGATTTTTTCCAATTTACGATGTGTAATTTTAAATGTGTCAAAATCTTAAACTTTTATGTGTCTCGTCTTGTGGCCATTGCACAAAAACACAAAATTACTCTGTTGCTTGACTCCAAAGGTAAAAGCGAGCGAGTAAAGATGTTTTAGAACGATGATTATTAACTTTTCAAAATAATTAAAATTAATTCTTAATATCTCTGCTAACCGTAGCAGAAAGAAGTGGACCGTTCGCCGTAAAAGCCTTAACTCTATTATGGCCCTCTGTTAAATACAGCTGTAAATTGGGTGTTAGGTTCAATAGCTATTTTGACGAGGCGAGAGATATGAGTCTGCCGATAACAAATTTTCCCCTCATTTCAAACAGCTTTACGTTAACTTTTCATCTCGGCTGCAAAAATGAAATTGATTTTCTATTACTACAAAAAAAGAGAAACGAAAAAACACACATTCTTTCCAGACTTCAAAACAAAAATCTTAGAAAAAAACTCTTCATTTTCTATTTGAATTCAAACTGCGCGGACTTTGCTTAGTTAAAATTTTCTTCCAAAAATACTAAATTATTTCTCTGTGATAAATATATGACTACAATACCATCGGAAGTCCAAATCTGGTTCATAAAAATCTGTAGAAAATTCATTGGCTGTTTCTTAGCCTGTTTCCTGTCAGCGTTTTCCTTTTTGTTTTGTTTTTCTTTAACCGTTTCACTTCCAAGATCTCATACGTAATTCTCCTTTCTGTACGCCATACAACTGTTATGATGATTTAAATGAAGATAATGAGTTTTAAGCGTGGTGTTTACATGAAAGAAGATGTTATTCAATGAAAGACATGGGCATACTTAGAGAAGAAGAACTCCAAGAACTAGGAGTCGTCACAGACGTAGTTAAACAACCTAGCTCAGTGGTCGAGTTAGAGAATCGTATAGATGTACGTTCGACTCCTATCAGGAACACCCGGAGTTCTTCTTCTCCGAGGTTGCTTGTGTCATCCACTGATTAACATCTTTTATCACAACTCATCAGATGTTAGTTCGGAGAATTTTGTACTGGATCAACTAATACTCTTCGAATTTATATTTTTTAATTCTTATCGCTTGATATCCGCTTGATATCTTATAGATATTGTAAGGAGAAATTCTCTCATGGCCACTTGAAGACAAAAACACCATCTGTTCATCAAAATTGATTTACACGGAATATGCTGAATGGTTTTCTCGAAAGTCCTAGCCGGCTTTCATGCTGCCATCGGCGTTGTCGGCCTTCCTGGAAATTTACTGGTCATAGCAACGATTTGTATGGAGAGTAGATTTCATGTGATGCGGTAGGTTCTACTTGCCAGCTTAGCAGGATCAGATATTCTATTTTTGATCCTTGTTTAACGATGGTTGTATGGCGAAACGATGTGTAAACTGCATTACCTTGTTTTAAGATATTTCTACTTGAATACAGCTCTTCATCTCATAGCTGTGTCATATGAACGGTATAGCGCCATTGTAAAATCACCTTTGACGTATAATAGTTCCATTACTAGATCAAAAGTCGTGGTTATAGTACTGATATGGACTGTCCCTTTTCTTGCTACGCCATCGCTTTTTTCAGACAAGCAGAATCTGTCTTTTATCATCCAAAACTATTCTTTTGCAGGGCAGCTTCAGATGCCCCCACTTTTTATGCTCCCGCTGCGGCATTCATCGTGATCGCTGTGCATACTTCAATAATCTTTTTCCTAAACTGGAGAATTTTAAAAACAGTTAATGCCATCCAGTCTAACGATCAACCAGTCATATTTTTGGAAAGCACTGCTGCAAGCTCTAACAATGGTCCAAGCCAGCACCGACGACATGAGGAGAGAAGAATCAAAGATCGTAAGGCAGCTGTCGATGTCTGCATCATAATGGCGGCGTTTATGATCTGCTATCTTCCTGAGTAGACCGATTTCGTTCTTCATTATTTCTTTAAGGTAGCCGGAATTTCCATCCGAAGTTACGCAAACCACTCGATGTATTTACTACATCAGCTCTGTGACCAATCCAATTATTTATTCTGTTCGCAAGCGGGAATTTCGCGGTGGAGTTAAAAGAACGCTTAAGCGAATTGGTGGGCTATGTGCCATTTCATTTGCTTCCGGTACGGACAATGTAATCGGTGTGCTCGAGTTACGGTTAGCCTTCACAGGAATCCCTTCAATTGTGAAATCAAGAGCTGCACAGGTTGCCCAACACAAGGACTCTCTTAATTTTCGGACTTTGAATGTTCCTAAAGGAATTGAAATGAATCTCCAGAGATGCTATCCTCCAACTGAAGAAATCGTTTAATGTATTGAACATTACAACCCACGCTTTTTACGATTTTTTAAGAAGTCTCTCTTCGAGGCAGAAAAAGAATTGTAGTTTGCACTTTTTAACCGAGTGGGAAAGCTAAACGGGAAAATGTTTAGCTTGACGTCATTACGCGCGGACAGAATGGTAAAGTTCGCCAAAGGTTTGTCTTTTCAGAGACAACAATTCATTTCCAAAGTTTCTATGATACACTGACCACATGTACTTGATTCTTGTGCAAAGAGAAGTTTTGTTTTGTAATTTTCAGCACTAGCGGGCGAAAGGCCAGTATGAATTGATTTTCAACGTAACGTTACCGCAAGCATTGAGATAATGACATCTTGTAGACTTGTGGGTCTCGTCTTGTGGTCATTGCACTAAAACACAAAATTATTCCGTTACTTGACTCTAAACGTAAAAGCGAGTGAGTGAAGGTGTTTTAAAACGATGAAAGTTGTTTATTAACTTTTCAAAATGATTGAAATTAATTGTTAATATTTTTGTTAACCGTAGCAGAAAGAAATGAGCCGTTAGCCGTTAAAGCCTTCCCTCCATTATGATCCTGCATTAAATACAGCTGTTAATTTGGTGTTGGGTTCAATACCTATTTTGACAAGGCGAGAGAAACGAGTCTGCCGATTACAAATTTTCCGGCCCCTCATTTCAAACGGCTTTACGTCAACTTTCCATTTCGGCTGCGAAAATGAAATTTATTTCCTATTATTACCAAAAAAAAAGAACCAAAAACTACTCTCCCTACTTCAAAACAAAAATGCTCCGAAACTCTTCATTTTTTGTTTGAATTCAAACTGCGCCGACTTTACCTATTTGAAATTATTTTCCAAAATAAAAATATAAAGTTATTTTTCTTTGATTAATGAAAGACCACAATACGGAAGCTCAAATCTGGTACATAACAATCGGTAGGAAATTTATTGGCTGTTCCTTAGCCTGTTTCCTGTCAGTGTTTTCCTTTATGTTTTGTTATACTTTTCTTTAACCGTTTCGCTTCCAGTATCTCATTAGTAATTCTCCTTTCTGTCCGTCATACAACTGTTATGATGATTTAAATGGAAATAGTGAGTTTTAAGCGTGGTGTTTACGTGAAAGAAGATGTTATTCAGTGAATGACGTGGGCATACTCGGAGAAAAAGAACTCCAAGAACTAGGAGTCGTCACAGACGTGGTTAAACAACCTAGCTCAGCGGTCGAGGTAGAGAATCGGATGGATGTACGCTCGACTCCTATCGAGAACACTCAGAGTTCTTTACCCCGAGTATCCTTGTGTCATCTACTGATGAACATCTTTTGTCATAATTCTTCTGAATTTAATTCAGAGAATTTTGCCTTGGATCAACTAAGACTCTCCCAATTTACATATTTTTTAGTCTTATCACTTGTCTGCTTAATATTGTATTCATATTGTAAGGGGAAATTCTCTCATGGCCACTTGAAGACGAAAACACCATCTGTTCGTCAAAATTGATTTACACGGAATATGCTGCGAGTTTATTAACAACATCATCACGTTGTAACAATTAGCAATCATGGTTTTCTCGCAAGTCCTTGCCGGTGTTCATGCTGTCATCGACGTTGTCGGCCTTCCTGGAAATTTACTGGTCATAGCAACGATTTGTATGGAGAGCAGATTTCATGTGATGCGGTATGTTCTACTTGCCAGCCTAGCAGGATCAGATATTCTCTTTTTGATCCTGGGCAACTCGCCGAGCATCGTAAGCACTGCCCACGAACGATGGTTGTATGGCGGAACAATGTGTAAACTGCATTACCTTGTTTTAAGATATTTCTACTTGAATACAGCTCTTCATCTCATAGCTGTGTCATATGAACGATATAGCGCCATTGTAAAATTACCTTTGATGTATGATGGTTCCATTACTAGATCAAAAGTCGTGGTTATAGTACTGATATGGACTGTCCCTTTTCTTGTATGCGCCATCGCTTTTTTCAGACAAGCAGAATCTGTCTTTTATCATCCAAAACTATTCTTTTGCAGGGCAGCTTCAGATGCCCCCACTTTTCATGCTTCCGCAGCGGCATTCATCGTGATCGCTGTGCCTACTTCAATAATCTTTTTCCTAAACTGGAGAGTTTTAAAAACAGTTAACGCCATCCAGTTTAACGATCAACCAGTCATATTTTTGGAAAGCACTGCTGCAAGCTCTAACAATGGTCCAAGCCAGCACCGACGACATGAGGAGAGAAGAATCAAAGATCGTAAGGCAGCTGTCGATGTCTGCATCATAATGGCGGCGTTTATGATCTGCTATCTTCCTGAGTGGACCGATTTCGTTCTTCATTATTTCTTTAAGATAGAATTTCCATCCGAAGTTACGCAAACCACTCGATGTATTTACTACATCAGCTCTGTGACCAATCCAATCATTTATTCTGTTCGCAAGCGGGAATTTCGCGGTGGAGTTAAAAGAACGATTAAGAGAATTGTTGGGTTGTGCGCCATTAAATTTGCTTCTAGTACGGACAATGTAATTGGTGTGCACGAGTTACGCTAGCCTTCACAGAAATCCTTTCAATTGCGGAATCGAGAGCTGCACAGGTTACCCGACACAAGGACTCTCTTAATTCTCGGACTTTGAATATTCCCTAAGGAATTGAAATGAATCTCCAGAGATGCCATCCTCCAACTGAAGAAATCGTTGAATGAATTGAACATTATAACCTACGCTTTTATGATTTTAAAAGAAGTCTCTCTTAGAGGCAGAAAGAGAACTGTAATTTGTACTTTTTAGCCAAGTGGGAAGTCTAGCTTGACGTCATGACGAGCCGACAGAACTGTTAAGTTCGCTAAAGTTCTGTCTTTTCAAAGACGACAATTCATTTCCAAAGTTTCTATGATACACTGAGCACATTTACTTGATTCTTGCAGGAAGTGAAATTTTGTTTTGTAATTTTCGGCACGAGCGGGTGAAACGCCAGAATGAATTGATTTTGAACGTAGCGTTACGGCAAGTACTGAGAAAATGATATCTTGTAGACTTATGCATCGTTTAGTTTAGTTTGGTAAAAGTTATCATTGATGACAAGGAGCCAGGGAAATACTGTTTTATACTGGATAAACAAAGTGCCAGTCGAAGAAAAAAGTAAATATGTCTTGTTCAAGCGACTGTTTGATAACGGAGCGCACCGGCCTCCAACATGAGTGACGTAGACATTGATTTTGTTCACATGAACCACAACTCCTAATGGAAATCCAATTCGAAAATTTAAATAGTAATTCATCCCCAAAATCCAACTGCAAACTTCAACTCTATGTCCTAAATAAGAATTCAGTTTGTCTCGGTCATTGTTTGGTTGTACCTCGCCAACGAGACATTTAATTGCTTGTTTTCTATTTTTTGAAAAGTTCCAGCCGACGGTACATTTCCTAAATGAGATTTCAGATTGACTTTTGAAGCCACGGTGTGCAATGAAAACATCGGTAACTACATTTACATCTTAGTTCTTAGTCAGAGACCAAAATAACCCGCCAAAACTATGGATCGACCCCAAAATTTATTGAAATGTACTCTAAAAATTTTTCCGGCCTAGGCAATCAGAAAGGCCAAAGAAATAAGTCAGCTGAATATATCTTTCCTAGACCCAACACTGTTTTACAACAGGAAAATTGGCAAGAACATTACAAATAACCTGGCTATAAACAGCCAGGTTATTTAAATCTCCCGGTTGTAGTTACGAACCTGAGATTTTCACGGCTTAACACGTCTTAAAATATGCTTGCTTTGGCTGAGAGAAGTTGTTATTTTAAAAAAAAGTGTTAGAAAAACTTAATCAAGAGATTAAACCTACCAACTTGCTTCTTTATTTATTCCTAGGAGAACTTGAACGGGCGAGAAAATTCCTTGACCGCGAGAACTTCGGAGAAAAAATAGCAACCCAATAAAGGGGCGATTACAGCCGGTTCCTCGTTTCCCATGATAATGACACTCGGCGTCTACTAATTTGACAACACTGATAACCAAACTAGCGCTAAAATAGTAAAAAAATCATTTTAACTGCTATTTTTCCCTGTATTTCCATTTTAAGCCAATCAGATATCAGGATTTTAATTTAATTAGTATATAAGTTAGCTGATGACAGCTTTGGATCAAACGTGCCCACTTCTTTGGCGGATCATTACATTATAATTATAATCGAAATTCTCGCGCGAAAATAAATTATTTACTAATCGCGTTCTGATTGGCTAACACAGAGCGCATGCTTTATAAAAATACAGCTGGGTCGCCATCGAACGATTTGAACAACGGCCGACCATTTCTTGGGATGTTTCTGTCGGTTCCCCTCTTTTGTTAAACCACAAGTCTTGCTTAACCTGGAGAACAAAAATGAAAACCAGTTCC